AGATGAAAGCATGACTTAAAAATCTGGGGTACATGTAAGGGGGGGATTGCCAGTGTGTGGGGGTGGATGCTGTAGCAGGTGATGTGCTACAGAAAAAATCTGGCAAAGTTAAACCATCTCAAATCTAGATTGAAGTAAGAATAGAAGATTGTTTAAAAGACCCTCTCATGAGAAAACAAATGTTTCTTCTTTTTTTTTTGATATAAAAGGGCTTAATTTATAGTCAGGTCCATAAATATTTTGATGTCAAAATTATAGTGAATATGAGCTCACAGTGCAGACATTTGGCTATAATTTGAGAATATTTACAGCCAAATTGGGTGAACGGCATAAAAATTACAACCATTTTCACACATATCTCATTTTTAGGAGCCCAAAAGTTATTTTGCTTACAGATAAAAGCTGATAAAGGGTGTACAGTTGATTTCAAGTCTGCCACTTCCATTGGGAATTTGTTGCTGTTACCCCTCAATATGAAGCCCAAAGAGCTTCAGTGCTGGTGAATGAAGCCACTGAAAACTCAAAACAAACCCTTTAGACAGAAAGCAAAAACATCAGGTGTGACCAAATCAGCTATTCTACAAACTGTTAAAAAGAAATAATGCACCGGTGAGCTCAGAAACACCAACAGGCCCGGAAAACCCCAGAAAACAACTGTGGTGGATGACAGGAGAATTCTTTCCCCGGTGATGAAAAACCTCCCGGAGGTTGGCATATCTCAGAGTCAACAATCTAGACCTCGTCAGAATAAATACCGAAGGTTTACCACAAGATGTAAACCATTTAAAGCTTTCAAAAACAGGAAGATCAAGTCAGAAAAACATCTTACAAAAACAAGCCTGTAAAAATCTGAAACAACATCTTTTGGGCAGCTGAGATGAAGATGAACTTGTACCAGAATGATGGGATGAGAAGAAAAAAGCATGTGAGGTAGTGTTATGGTGTGGGCATGTATGGCTCCCAGTGGGACTGGTTCCTAGTACTTACTGATATGACTGCTGATAAAAGCAGTAGAATGAAGCAGGGTACCTGTATTATCTGCTCAGATTCAGCTAAACGCTTCAGAACTCACTGCACGGTGCTGGACAGTGAAGATGGACCGTGACAGGAATCATACCGCGAAATCAACCCCAGGCAAAGTGAAATGCTCTGCAATGGCCAAGTCAGGCCGCTGAAGTCAGTCCAATCGAGCGTGCATTTCATTTACTGAAGTCAAAACTGAAAGTAAAATGGCACAAGAACAGACAGGAACTGAGAACAGCTGCAGTGAAGTCCTTGCAGAGCATCACCAGGGATTAAACACAGTGTCTGGTGATGTTTATGGGGTCCGGCCTTTCTGGCAGCTGTTGAGTGCAAAGGATTTGCAACAAAGCATTAGAGACGGCAATTTACGATCATTTTGATTTGGCAATTATTTTTTGAGCCACTAAAAATTAGGGGTTATGTACGAAAATGGTTCAAGTTCCTACATCGTTCACCCGATTCAGATGTAAATACCCTCAAGTAGCACTTACAGCTCATATTCATTGAATGATCTCAACTCCAACATAGAAAAGTCTCACTCCTCAGTCCATTTCGCTGCTGTCAGAACAAAACCTTGTATCTCCAAAATGGTAACTTTACAGGAGAAGGAAAAATCCTACTCTGCTTTTAATGTAAGTCAATGGAACCAGACGTTTTTTCAAAGTAATTTTGGGTCATTTCTGTTGATCCATTCATCATCAAATTTACACACAATGTAAAGAACAATGGGTATTTTCAAATTACATCAAAAACTGAAAAACAACAAAAATGGAGATACCAAGTTGGTTCTGACAGCAGCGACACATCTGCAAAAACAGCCTGTTTTGAATGCGTGATGTTTGTAACGACACTAAAACCAACATAAACATACCAGCGTATTCAACAGCAGCCAACACGTGAATTTTATCCAGTGAAAGTCATTCCACACGCAAGTAAACAAGCAAATCCATCTTCCAAAGAAATACCACCATATCAAGGGTGGGCCGGTGTCCAGCACAGTCGGGTGATCTGCAGTGTAAAGGTAAAGGTGAGGGAGGAAGGAAGGAGACGTCCACAAAATTAGCAAAACAATCCACAAAGCAACCACTAAACTATAGACAGTGACGTCGCTTTCCGAGGAGTTTTATTAGGGCTTTCGAAGTTGAGGCATTAAGTTGATAAATAATTAAGACGACTACTTTAGTTGCGCCCAGTTCGATTGTAGGAGCAGCAGGAAGCAGCCCAGCTGTGTATACAAACACATCTTTCATTGGGTTTCAAAATAGTGCCATTAATTATTTTTATCACTTGAAGGCCCAACTTTTTAAACTCTGCACAGAGAGCAAAAGCACATGCTAGTACAGTTAAAGGCTGCTAATATTAGATTATGAATCGTTTTAAATCTAAATCTGTACGTGGTTGAGTTAGATCAGGGGTGTCAAACTGAACCACTAAAAGGGCCACATTAAAAAATCTCACCAAATCTGTGGGACAGAAAAAAAAGTCTTTTTATTTTATTGTTAATTAGTGTTGTGCTAAAGCCAAACTGGACATTGTTTATTCAAAATATGCAAAAACTTCACCAGTAACATACAGACACTTGTCGTAGACCTTGAAACTAACACCTGACATCCTGTCTTTGCCGCAAGGCTGGTTCCCTAACCTCCAGCCCCTATTAAAGAACATAAGTTCTTAAGTTCATGATCTTTTTCATTAACTCCAGATAAGAGAACAGTATTACACGAACGTCCGAACTAGACTAAATCTCCTAATTCTCAGTTTCTGATGAGCCGACATTTAGTGTTTATTCTGTTTGAACTGCAGCTGAAATGCATTCTAGGTGATATGACTGGTGTAGAATTGAGGTGTGACCTCTGTCCCATTGACTGTTGTTGGGGTAGGAGAGTCGTAGCACATTACGTTGCAGTGCATGCTGGGGACTGTAGTGCAGCACACTGTGAAACGGCCTAATGTTAATAGGAAATTTTGCTGGCCTTATGTGGCCCCACGGGCCTTGCGTTTGGGAGTTAGACCAACCACAAGCAACCAAACATCCATATTATGTCACAGACTGAGGCGGAGCTACACACACTTTTCAGACGTTATGTGTGTTGTCTGAGAATTCTATTCAATAGCATTTTTTGCTAATACAACACAAATTTGAATTATTAAGTTATTGATTATTTACTTAAGGTTTAGTCTGCTGCATGAATAAGACTGAGCCACTGTACTAAAACACGACCCTACCTTTACATGAATACCAGCCTGGGGCTGCATTACAGAACTCTGAAATCTTATCGGTTTGGTCACCATGACCACTTCAGTTAGGACTAAACTTAGGACAGAAGCTAAGATTAGATTAAGTGACCCTTATTAAATTTCACCTCTGCAATCTAACCCATCTGTGCAGTGAAACACCACATACACACTAGTGAACACACACACTAGGGGGCAGCGAGCGCACTTGGCCAGAGCGGTGGGCAGCCCTATCCACATGAACCTGGGGAGCAGTTGGGGGTTAGGTGCCTTGCTCAAGCGCACTTCAGTCGGCACAGGGGATTGAACCAGCGACCTTCTGGTCACAAGGCTGGTTCCCTAACCTCCAGCCCACGACTGCCCCCACAACTTAAGAACTGATGTTCTGTAATAGTTCATAATTTTGTCATTAACTCCAGATAAGAAAACAGTATTACACAAACATCCTAACTAGACTAAATCTCCTAAAATCTGTCCTAACTTTAGGGCTTAACACTTCTGTTTTAACTGCCTGTTTCTATTGTGTTCAGGCAACTGTTACAGGCAGCATAGTTTCCTAATAGCGTAATTAACATTTATTTATATTGCAAAACGGCTTCACTTGTGAGACATTTCTTTTCTAACTCTACGTTCTAAACATTTAAGATACCATCTCCACTATTTCAGGCTTACAAAGACGCACAAACAGAACGAAAGAGCTTCTTTCAGTTTTTTAAAAAATATTTTAATGCACCATTAATAAAGGGTCCAACGCATTAATACAAGAGAAATATTGCAAATAATATTAAAATAATACATCAAATTTAAAGGAAAAAAACAAAACAAAAAAACAAATAAGATAAACGAATGATAGGTATGTACAATTTTTTCTCGCAATGGGAAAGTAGGAAAAGGAAGAACATATTTACAGACTGGAACCAGTGTGTTTCTACGAGAAACAAACACCTCTACAATATTTACATGTATTTCTTTCCATGTGTTTTTTTTTGTCCTTTTTACTTTTTGAATCTTGTTTCTGAGGGTCAGTTTGTACTGAAAGACTGCTGTAACTCTACATATATTACATGGCTTTCCTTTCAAAGAAGGAAAAGACTGCTCACTGCTGAGGGCCTTCTGGAGTTAAAAGTAGCTAAAAGGAAAGATTAAAACCAAACGGGAGGAAAGAAAATATAAATCACTGGCAGAGCTGCACGAATAAGACCGCCTGAGCTGAGAGGGCTGACCAATCACAGCAGAGATAAGACTGCCAGGCACCTCCTCTTTGCGTCAACATTACCAACGTCCCCCTAAACCCACTTTAGAAAAACGAAGTGACTGCACTGCTACAGAGTTTACAGGGTTGGGAAATGTACCCTTAATTTTGCTGCCCGCTTAGCCCAGGCTAATTATTCTACCCCATTTAGCTCATAGCATTCATTGGTCCACAAAAAATAGAAGAAAAAAATATCCAAGGTCAAATCAACCTCGATAATGTGATAAAACATTGTTTTGTTTCCGATCCTGCCAACGTCCTGTCGTCTAAAACCTGTAAAAATCAGGTGTAGAGTAAGGACACCTGGCTGTACTTTCAAACTGACTTTTTTTCTAATAAAGAATTTGGAGAAAACAAAAGATGTAGGGAACCCTTTTAAGTGTGGTTATGCACAGGCCACAGAGGAGTATGAGCACACAGAGTACTTCACTGTTCACAAAACCAATTGAAAAATATTCATTGAAATAATAATAATACTTCAATTAAAAGCTATTGTTATTACATTTAGAGTGGCGGAATCAAATAATCCTCATCCGAAGACCCCAATGAAGGCTTTTATCCCCCCGACCCCTATTTAGCTTTGTGCGTATGTGAGCGTGAGACGTTTCGTGTGCCGTTGCTTAACAACTACAGGCCTCTAAAAACATCATGTAACCAAATGCAGCTGTGAGGGGAAAATGCAGGATAAAGATAGCAACGAATGGGAAGGGAGAGGATGTAAGATCTGTGACTCAGCAGTGATGCTGACATCCTTATGGAGACAGAATGGTCATGTATCTTTAATAATACATCAGGTATGCCAAGCACATGTAACGGATTTTCCCATGTTGTCCACGACTGCAACTGTATATGGATATCAACACGCTATCCATACGCCCCTGCCAGTCTCCTGCAGTGGTGGAGGGGAATCTGCTGGAAAAAGCTGGATGTATAGGAGAAGAAGGGTAAGCTTGGTGTCCCAGGACCTCAGTTGAGAGTTCCTCTGCAGTTCTCCGTCCCACACAAACAGGGAATTTTGTTCTCCTCGATGGGGAACTTATAGTCATATGTGATCTCTTCATTCACTCCGATAGGCTGCTTGGAATAGATGACAATCTTCTTCTGAGACTCGATGGTGATCACCTTCGCGTAGCAGTTAGGCTGGAAAATAGAAAAGGGAGAGATTTAATTATGCAGAAAAAACTCAGAAGTACCTCACACACAAAATATAATGGTAACTAGGCCTGTGCTGTTCATACAGTCCTTCAGGAAACCGTGTGGAACATCAAGGTGTTGTTTTTCCTTTGCTTTCTCTCTCAAATTGCATAGCACTGATAAAGACAATAACAAAAGAATAAAATAAAAAACTACACTTTTTCATACAGTATTTTTAGGATGGTTCCTAGCACTGAAGAGGGTGCGGGAGCAAAGCTACAGCTCAAGGGCCTCCCTTCACCAAATAAATTTTTTTTTCTTAAAACCGACTTGACATTTTCACGAAGATTCTGACATTCACCAGTGTTTTCTTATTTGGGGTTTGACCTTAAGTAAAAATAGAATCTACACACACTCAAGAGCACAAAGGTGAGAACAGTTCTGCGCTTTAAGAACACGGCATGAATCTGACGTAGACGTTCTCTCAGCACCTTTCTCAAGAACCTATTTAAGAACAAACCTGGGAACCTATCGGTGAACGAGGCCCAATTTCTGTTAAGTAAAAAAGACAAATGTGTAGTTCAGGTATGATCGTCATATATGGTCCTCTTTAATATGACAACTAACTGTAGCTAATCTAGTAACAAAGAACAGACCTGCAAACAAGCCTTGTTTGACCGCTAAGCTCATCTGGATGGCCTCTTCTCTGAAGCAGTTTCATTTAATGCCATATAAACTGACCCGTTTTGCCTGATGAACGAGAGCTGAGACGTTTTTGTTTTTTTCTGAAAACTGAAGCTGTTTTGTCTGATGTTTGAAAGTTGGTCCTGTGGTCTAAAGATGTCTTAAAAATAACATTGTACTGCATAGGTCGCTTTGATGTTCTGCCAGCAGCACCAAGCTATCTGTGCTGGGTGCAATAAATGTGGTATTAATGTAGGATATCATCCAACATGTACACCATTAGAAATAAAGGTGCTGTGCAGGTACATTTTTTGTTCTTCAAGGTACAAACAATGTAAATGTGCCCTCAAAGGTATAACAGTGGTTTTAAGGTCCAATTCTGAACCTTGAATAAGTTTTTTCCAGATTAAAAATACATATTTGTACCTTTTCATAATCTATTGTTTTAAAACAGAACAGTAAAATAAAAGCCTGGAGACGAGACGGGGTGTGTGGAGTCAGTACAGCTTAGAGACATATCATTTCAGTGGATTATGGTTCAGTTATGTTCCCTGACTAAAGGTACTGAGATGTACCCTTGAGGGCTCCACCCCAGTGACAAGCGACAACGATGCTTTATTTCTGAGTGTAGTTAGTCTACTAATAAAGAACAGAACTGCGAATTACACAAGCTTTGTTTGAGGTCGCTTAGCTTATCTAAATGCCTTCTTCTCTAAAGCCGTTTCACTTAATGCCATTTGAAATGTGGTATTAATGTAGGATTTCACCCAACATGTTCAAAAGTTCAGCTACGTTCATGTGTGGGAATACCGGGTGTCTTTTAAAGAAATGAATCTATGTCCAAATAGGCTTTTAAATTAGTCTTTACAGTCACTGGGGGCTGTTACTACAGCAACTGACTTAACTGTCGTCAGGCACCGGCCTAAAGGCAACAGACAGAGTTAAAGCTACTATGAAAAGGTGCTTTCGCCTCAACTCTGAAATGTTTGTGGACCTATAAAAAGTAAGAGAAGAGGCCTGTTTGAACAGCTCTGTCCCAATGGATCTTTCAGAAGGATCCTTTTTCCTTTTTAACACACATCCAGTAAAAGTGGTACAGCACTATTAAAAATTCACACACGAAAGAAGACAACTAGGCAGGCCCTTTACAGATTTTAGACTGACTGTACACTACACAACTTTTAAAATCTTAACAGATTTTTAAAACGGAGAGCATCAAACTTAACGTCAACCTGTCACAGAATTTCTTGTCTTTTTGTCGTGAGGCGCTCAGACTAGACGACAGGGCAAAAAGAGCACAACGAGTTTGTGCTACGAATAAGAACTCAAACTCCCAGATCTCCTCAGATCACATGACACAAACAGAGCTGAACTTACTGGACCTGTTTGTGCTTTTATATGCAGCAGAAGTTCAAACTGGGGATTAATATGTGGTGAGAAGCGCTGATACAGTGAGAGCTGGAGAAATATTTCACTACAAACTGGCAGCTGAGCTGAAACCGTAAAAAGAGTGAGCTGACATCTGACTCAACATTATAAACATGATAACAACTCTTATCTGTGTGTTTTACACACAGCACCTCTGTCTCCGCGCTCTGCTGTTCAGGCGGCATTCATGTGCGTCTCTTCCCCTGTTTCTCTGCTCTTCCAGCTCTCTGATTGGCTGTTTGAATCACTCATTGAGCAAATCTCTGACCTTCTCACACTGCAGGACTCGTGAACGTTTTGAGTCATAAATATCAAACGTTTGACAGCATCGGAGGGACTCGGATCACTTCAGAGTTTGGAGACCTAGATTAACTTGTTTCTATTCTCACACTGGCAGGTCATCTCTTCTGATCGAGCTCCCAACCTGGAAAATCGCTTCAGACTGTGAAACTTTGTCACAAGAGGCAAATCAGAGTTAAAATCAGAGTTAAAATCAGGGTTAAAATCGTGTAGTGTAGGCCCAGCCTTAGAGGGTAAGAAATAAACTTGTCACCAGTAGTACATAAAAAAAAACACATTTACAAATGGATTAAATAAGATTAAGTTTTTGGATTTGAAAACCAGAGACCTCTTTCCACATTCAGTACAGCATTCAATCCACACAGCCATTTAAAATTTCAATTCAGCAGTCCAGAGTGGTGCAAAACTTTGGTTACTTTGCACCACTCCAGATTTGGCAAAAGCCCTTTCACTCTACGTCCTTTACTCTTCTGGCTCAAAGGCCTTTCTGCATTTCGCTGATTTTAGAGCCTTTTAAAGTCTGTGATCGCTTCTATTTCACCCTCATAAAGGGAAAACAGGGCGTGCTCTCTGCTGCCTTAAACAATAAAACTCTCTGTGAATCTCCCATTTAAATAAACAATTCACGTTTAATCAAATGGTTTGAAAAAGAAATGTGCACAAGAAATGCAATAATCTGTTTCAAAAGACAATGAAATAAAAAAATAATGAAAAAAATAAGTTAACCAACAACCATGACTTGCTCTTTGCACTGTCCACACCACTCTGTAAAGGCTAAAGTACTACATTAGGTCAATGGCCCCAACATCCACTTAAGCCTCTAACACACAGTTACAGTTAAGCTCCAATCTGAGTTTGTTTTTTAGAGAAGCTGTTTTTTGTTCTGTAAATAGGTGTTTTAAAGGCTTCCGAGTTTGTCTTTTACAATAAAGAAAATACTCTTAGATCACATGATAACCAATATAATTTATAGTAACGGCCCTAGAAAACAGATAAGCTGGTCATGAGGTCACTGCAGGAACACTAGCGTTCACCAAGTCACTCTAAGGAAACATCAGAGATTTTTTTTTTTTTAAAGAGAGAATCTGAACCATATTGGTCTGACTTTCATGAATTACAAAAAATGGTCAACGCAATACAGAATTTACATAGAGATGACCTTCAGGTTCACCTACAAACAATCTTCCTTTCTAACTAGGCCATGACACAGCAGCAGATGACACTCATCTCTGGGTAATAAGAACTTTATTACAGCAAGAAAAACTGCTCTTCAGTAGAGTTACTTAGCCAAACAGCTTTGCTTTCTCTAGGTGCAGAAATTCAGAAATTCCTTATATGAGAGTTAAGTGTACAAACAAGAATGCACTGTGCATAACTGCCATTAGGCATCAACCACCATGACAATCATTACTAACTTGTTGGGCTGAAAGATTAATCTTTTTTTATCAAAATCACAATTTGAAAGAGTGCAATTTTCAAATCGCAAGAGCCGCAATTATTATAGACTTACAGTCTTAGCAACATTGATACGATACAAGTTTTAAGTGGGGAAATTTTAACTTATATATGGAGCTTGTGAGCTGCTGTGACATCACAACCACCAATAACTAGCAGGCTGGTGCACTGCAGTAACAGTTTACATTTCAAACCGGAAAAAAATATACGCTGGTGTTTTTACCCGAAAAAAAGGCCCCTATCTCAAATTACACCCAATTATAAACATTTGCAATTTAAATTGTAATCGCAACATTGGTCAGAAAAATCGCAATTACATCTTTTGCCACAATTGTTCAGCCCCACTAACTGGAACCAACCCATTCTGCTCAAATAAAAAGCATCTAATGTAAAAGTCCCAGTCAAACCAACTATAATTATAGGCTCTTACTATCACAGGCTACTATATTTGCCAAATAAGTTGAGCAGGACCAAATCTCCACTGCTGCTTATCCAGTCCAGGTGTTTAATTCAATCTAGTTGCAGTCCTGACTTAACCAGGAGCTTTTTCCCCTGCACCAAACACAAACTGCTCAGTTACAAGGGATTTCCATGGATTTTGGAATGTCTACATAATTCATAATAAATAAGTGGTTTAATGTGAAAAAGTACGCAGCAGAGAAACAAACTGACTCAGATTTCTTTATTGTGGTGGTGATGGGACTTTTCTTTAGGTACTGTTTTACCCTAAAACGCCTTTCTTGTACCTCTCCACCATAAATGGCTTTTAAAAAAAGATGTTTCAGGCCAAGATTCTCAAAACTGTCAAAAAAACAATGTCTCTGACAGAGTATTTATAACTATACATCCCCACATATAATACCTCTCTGTGAGGAAGCTTTTAGAGGCATTAAACGCTTCAGAAGTCCATCTCCTATCTCCGTCACTGTGAACAATTCTGTTTCAGTAACTTTCTCTAAAACACCTCTCACACCAAACCAGTTTGTGACTATTTACATCCAAACAATGTAATGCACAAATTTTGAAAAAGTGGTGGAATTCCCCTTTAATTACAGACATGCAAACTTGTGAGCAGTGAAAAAGATGAAAAGATCATAAGCCACCTGTGTGAGGGTCTCCCAGGAGAAAACTGTGGTGACTGAAGACTAGATTTGCATGGCTGGACTTCCTTGCTCGATGCGTGTTCGCACGCAATGCACGGAAGAACATTTTGCAACGTCATTTGCGCTTTGGCCCATGTTAAACGTGGCAAATAAACAGAAATTGTGCACTAAAAGTGGCATAAAAAAATTCCTATTAAAGTGTGTTCACTTTAATATGAATGTGTAAGTGTGGAGGCGTTTAGATATGTTAACTTAGTTTGACATAATAACACAGCCAGGATCTTCTATGGCTTATTTGTTTATTAAAATACTACACCTTACATTCACCTCAGGAGAAGAGTATGTGCACGATCCTGTTAAGCATGTATAATACCTGTATAGTGCTGTAAGTGTGAGTGTGTAAGACATTCTCCTTTCTTCCTATATAAATAGTGTACTTACAGTGCAGCAGTGGTTGATGAAGCGTGCCAGGTTGCCACACTTCGTGGCATCGATGATGGTGTCATGATCGACACGGAACAAGTAGCTGCTTCCGATTCCTTCCTGAGCATAGCGTTTCTCCCGATGGTCAGCCACCATCTGTCAACAGATTGACAATATATTATAAACAAGAAAAGCTCTCCACATTTATGTTTTGTTTTTAGGAGTCCACTTGTTACGAGGGCTGCATAGTATATTGTTAAATGTGGTTTGCAATATTGATATTGCAGAAGATCTCAATATGTGAACCCTCCAACTACAAAGCTGCAGATTTTTTATTACATGCTATGAGAAACAAGTTCTCATAGCATATATGCACTTCAAGATGCTCCAGATGAGTGTCTGTGTTTTGATAAATCAGGTTATACAATCCTAAATTAAAACTTTAACCCAATGTTTAGCACAAGGTAACTGAATGGCGGGTCAAATCAAATGTCCTCATGGGCCAAGTCTGGGCAGCCCTGATCTAAAGCATCCGCCACAGCCATGAGATAATTTCACAAACATTTAACTGGGCGTCTCTTCATGGCACTAGACAGTGATGACACAAAGGTCTCGCAGATGTCCGGTTTGTGAGTTAATGTTCTTAAAATTGTTTGTGCCCCACCTGTTCCGTTATTACGTATGACTTTCAAGTACTTTTCAGCTCCGATTCCCTCCCCAATACAGCAATTTGCTCGGAAATGTGTCACGTTTCATGACTCCCGACGTGCTTCGACGTTAGAGTTAAATCTGGTGCCAGTAGATTCTTTCATTTGCAGCCAGCCTGATTCACCTAAAAATACCCAGGAAAAACGAGTGAGGAAACGAGGGCAGAGAGCTGCCGCCCGGATGAGACGACATCGTCATACCTGCTGGCTTCCTCTGCCTGACACACCGGTCATCAACCTTCTACCTTCCTGCTGTATTCAGCTATGACGCAAAAACAAAACTCACAAAAGCTGATGCAATTTGGCACAGATGTCTGTTGCGGTCCACCATGTCCACAGCTTGGCAAGACCAAGTGCCTGTTTTAATGGAGGAAGACTGGAGGAACTGTTACTCCTCCATCTGTTTAGACAATGTGAGTTGGAGCACGTTTGGAAAATTCTTCATCCAGTCTGGACAAATACATACAGACTTGATCAGAACATGCACAGCTGACTGTATATCATTGTGCAAAAGCACCATGGTGAAAGGACCAGTGGAGATGCTCCAAACCCACATCGAATAAAATTTCTTTAGACGACTTCTAACTGTTGCACAAGCCAGATTTTTCCTCACCCCTGGTATGTTAAATTCAACAAAACAGTAATTATGCATGAAAATATGCAGTTCTCTGTAGAGGATGCGCTATTTTCACTTAGAAAGTCAACAAAAATTTGCGCGCAAACTTGTGCATATGACTGTTTACAACAGTAACTGTTATGCAAACATCCAAACTTGCCAAAACTCTTGGATCTGACACAGGGTGTGCCACAAGACAGTTTGCTGATCCCTTTATCCTTCACCTTGTCCACCTTCGACTGTATAGTCAGAGAGCGCTCCAATTCCAGCATGACGTTTACCAACGAGACCATAATTATAGGCATGATCTCCAACGATAACAGCTTACATGGGGGAAATATGACTGGATGATGAGTTGCGTCAGTGTTGAAACTGTTCCTCAGTGTCAGCAAACGCAAAGAACTTGTCATTGACTTCAGGAAGCACAACACCCATGTCAACGAGAAGGTCAGCAGCCTTGGGTTACTGGTAGTCAGCATCACTGATTGTTAGGAAGCTGTTCTGGTCAGGGACACGTACACATACTGATACTGAAAGTGGCAACGCTGACACCTGGTGAAGGGGTGCGCCCCAAAACATTATTTACAGGGACGCAGGACAACGTGGCGGTGACTGGAAGGGATTTCCTGAGAAACATGACAGCTCCAAAGTTTCCTGTTTGTTTCCTGACTTGTCTTCATTTGGGATGTGCATCCGACTATGATCCTCAAGTGCTCACTAAGAGTTTAAGCCACGTCCAGTTAAGCGTGGGAAGGGGAAAAAAAGCACTTTGTCTACATAAACATATGATCTGGAGCTCTGGTGTTGAGATGTCAAAAAAAAATTAGGAGCACAAATGAGAGGCATACATTTTAAAAGAGCATATTTCCAAAAACAGTATCAGTAGTAACTACGTAAAAACATGATCACATCCCTAGTCTTCAACACTTTTGTGCCCCCCGTCTTGTTTCGACCCACCAAATACTTTTAAGAAACGTTGACACACTAAGGGAACTGCCAGAGCACGCAGCTTCAGTCTCCAGGTAAACTGGTTCTTCTCTGGAGAAAGTTTGTGATTTTTACATGAAAATGGTGCAGACTAAAATACAGGGTCAATACCGAGTCACCACAGAGCATTGATTTAGTTCATTAAATCAAATCAGACTTACAACAAATCAATATGTTCAACAATTCCAGATAAGAACAAAATGGTAGCTGGGTGACTGGCTGCAAACAATGATCATTTCACACATATCCACCTTTTTCCATCTTCTTTTCAAAAGCTAACAATGAAAGAAATCTGAATATGCGAAAATGAAAAACTTCACCCCTCACAAACTTTTGCTCTTATTTCTGTTCCTCAAAGATTCTGTTCATCAGCACCATAAGCACTGGCTGCCAGTAACGTAAGTTACCGTTAATGTTAATCAGCCCTAGAAGCAGCGCTAAAACATTTAATCTTATGAAACTTTTACTAAATCCTTTGGTTTGGCCAAATCAATTACTTAATAGATTCTTTAAAACTCTCCTTGTTGCCGGCAGCAATCACCCCCTCCATTTTCCAACGGTAAAAACACTTTAAATCTACATGAGTCACAGGAATGATATTCATCATTCAAAACTGCAATTTCTAAAGTAAGTGGGGCGTCTCCATGTGCAGTTTTGAATGATGAATGTGATTTCAAAGTACACTGCCTCTGTAAGACCACCAGACACCACAGGCAGATGGTATTAGACAATACATACATAGTCATTTTTCATCACATTTAAATGTGCCCATCCATATATTCTGCATATAGTAAGGCTGCTTTCACAGTAGTAGTCTGCACAGATGTCTTTTATCTTTATTTGGTTTGGTAGGTTTAAACACTGCAACGGCTAAAACATACCAAATTACACATGTGGGTGTGTGATTGCTCCCTTGTTTGGTGTGGACCATCATAAAAACACCAGCAGCAAACTGAACCAGGGTTCACTTGGAAGTGAACAGTGTCACGGAACGTCAGCCCAGAGTATTTAAGTGTTCACACCTGTCAAAACAGACAAAACTAAAGAAAAAAAGTTCCACTGGTCCACACCAAACAAGGAAGGCGTTTATGTTTTATTATAAGCTGTTTGTTTAAGCTGAGGGACTTAACTTATGTTCTTAGCTAGAACTAGGCTGGTCAGCTAGCTAACAGGCTGAAAGAGCCAACAGCCTAAACTCCTTCATTAATATCACAGGCTTGAATTACAGCACTTATGGTATGATTAACTGTAAAACGGCAGTATAAAAGTCTAAAAATATCACTTGAATGTCTCACACACTTCAAATGTTCATGTTTCAGTCAGAAGTCACATCACACTCAGGCTGAATCCCAAACGGCTCCATACTCCCTAAATAGTGTTCTAGCTATGAAAGTTTAGAAATTCTAGCCTCTACAGTCAAACAGTGCATCATGTATCGAGTGTGGATGTGTCTGAATCCCAAATGACCATTTCCTAGCAATATTTTGCACCGTTTGGCTGCAGGATCCAGTATTTAAACTCCTACGTAGTGCACTATGTAGGGAGCTGGGAGCCATTAGAGATTCAGCCCCAGCACAAGAAGAGGGCGCCACTACTACTACTTTTTTTGCATTAGACAGTGCTGTGTTATCATATGTTCATTGTTACACGACAAAAAGTAAAAAAAAATGACAAAATTCATGAAATGACCGCAATATACTGCGATGGCCGACCAAACTTTCCTCTCCTCATAGTTGCGTGGCAACGATACTACACTCTAAAGGAACTATGTTTCGTTCTGAAATACTTGTTTGTGTCAATTATTATTAATAAAAAAAATATTTTCTGAAAAACTGTGCATCATATTTTTTGTTGGCCGTCGTTTTATAAAAGCAATGAGCCACAAGAGGCTGTGCGTTACTGCGATTTTATCACGGGGAAGGGAATTTTAGGCACCCTGCTTAGTGTTGTAAACTACTGTGTACTGTACTGTCTATGTGAATTGGATTTGACTGTAGTGGTGGGAGGTCTTTGCTTTCTACACATAAACTATGCACATAACTGCTTTAAAGTATGCTCATCTCACATCCCTACATATCAATGCAAGCCACTCTTTCAGCCACTCCTTATTTTTGTGGCATCAAAAAATGTATCGACTTGTGACACCACTGTTTCACACCAAACTGAATAATCAATTTCTGTGAATGTTTACACACCCACTTATCGTGTATGACTCTACAGCATAAGAAGCATCAGTTTTACCTGTCGGATGTTTTGGCCCACATACTCAATAACCATTTCATCTGCTGCGATGGGCTCCATGGCAAACAAGCCCCACTCGTGGATACGACTGCGACCGAACCGCAGCTTCTTCTTGCGGAACTGCACACAGAAATGAACAGAGAGCAGAAATGAGACAAAGGAATGAAAGACAAAAACGCAGGCAGATGGAATTTTGAAAGAAATTCGTCTTATACAGTGACTCCTTATTCCATAAAAGGCAAGCAAACGTTAATGGATTCCTAATAAAAGGAAAACTTTTCACTGTACTGCTACCTCACTTCATATGTTTTGTTTTGTCAGCAAAAAAAAATTTATGACTACAAGCGGAGAAAATGAAAGGTCAGGACAAGAACAAGTGTACAATTCCCAGCATTAACAAATATGCCCAATCTATAAATAAGTCACCCCAACCCAAAAACAGCTGCACCTGTCTGCACACATAAGGGCTGAGTGTGAATAAGTTTCTATTTATGGCTTTTTGAAAGTCTGTTCTTATGTAAAAGCTGAAGTTTTATAACTAAACATGTTTAGTTTTGGTTTTTCAAGGGAAACAGAAGGTCGCTGGGTTTCTATGAAGAAACACTGTTCCACCCACAGTTCCTTAAATCAGATACTGGTATAAGTAAGCTACTAGACCAATTACGCTGCTGTAATCACATCAGTCTGATAAAGTCAAGGTCAGAACAGGAGATTTCACCTTGAGCTGGTTGAGTTTGAGCAGGTCTGAGTCCATGACTGCAGGTGTGCCGATAGCACTGAGAAGACGCCTCTGCTCAGAGCGCCTCTCAGACAGCAGACGGTTCGAGCCCTGGAGGTAAAAAAGAGGAGTGTATAGTTCAGTGCATACTTGAACAGACAAGTTTTTCTTTGCTTTACTGTACTATTCAAACGTAACTACACATTTAATTACAAAACGAGTGACGCAATGAATTACATTACTTTTGTTTTACACTCTGCATTGGCAGTCACACCTCTCATAACTTCAGCAGGAATGAGCAGAGCTAAACTGCTGTAGGCTAAAGAGACTGTAATGTATATGTAATATATGTAGATGTTATTTGTTATGACATCACAGAAACAGTGAATTCAAAACAACTTTTGCAGCTTAGTCTCCATAAATGGACCGTATGGACTGGGGAGTAAACAGCATACTTTAACAAGGTTTACATACCATATCAAACTTTCAAGAAAAGAATTAAGAAAAGAAAAACAGCTTTCCATGATATGAGCTTTTAAAACATGGTGGGGAATATTAAATTATGTTGTATAATACTTTAGAAACATTTAAAATACACTCACACACTCCTTAAAAAGGTGGCACAATGTGAATGAGGTTAACCCCATAAATACTAGGCTTATTATTCAGTAAGGCATCTTAATATGTATTCTCGAGTTACTCCAATGAATTTGGTTACTAATATGGAACTAATGTATAAGTTACGTAGTTATGAGGCTGGGCACTGGACTCTGGGCCCACATACACACCTTTAGGGTTTATGGAGTTAACTTTAAAACTGCTATTAAAAATCAAAACCTAAGGGGAACATTGCATAAGTAAAATACCGCAATGTCGAAGTCCATAGCTTCCTGCACAGCCTCGGGGAGGTCCAGATCCAGGTATACGTCCTTCTCCTTGCGGCTGATGGCGTAGTAGCCCTCGCTACGGGCGCAGCCTGTGATGTGCTCTCTCAGCTGCCCAGCCGCTGCTTTCTTCTTACGCCGTGGATTCGGGATGTTGGTAAGTGCAGAGGTGGGTTAAGGGTCATAACTTACGAGAGAATTAACCTGCTAAAGTCATGACTGAACACTTACAGTCTTTGTCACATTCAGTCCATTTGCAAATACCTGGTGGCTCATCCCACGTAAAACAACAGAGAATTAAGACTGAAAAAGAAAATGACCAAAACTCCTATTTCTGTGTATACTGTTAATGCAGAATGACCAATTATCCTATCTTAACAATCAAATTGTTTTTTCAAGTTCTAAGAACTGGTTACGCTACACCCAGCGTTTAAGTCCAAAAAAGTGGGTGCACTGGTCTAAAGCTTAGCTTATTGTTTAATGACATAATTAAATCAATTAAAAAAGGGAAAAAAAAATACAAATAAAAAAAAACATTTAAATCACAATCACATTATAGATTAAACAATGTCACAAATGACATACTTGTTAACTTGTGTATATATATATATATATATATACATATACATACATACATACATACATATATATATATATATTTCATAATGGCTTGTTAAACTTCCCCCTTTTAGCCTTAATGTAAGGTTTTGTAGCTTATTGCTGGATGAAACAGCTTCACATAGAATGACCATTCATCTACATCCAATTACAGGAAGAGAGAAAACAAAAAGACCTTGTTGAAACTTTGGGCTTTTTCCAATTCTCAGTGACATTTCTTCCCCCATCATTCTTCTCATACCCAACTCACTTACACACCCAAGTACTCAGACCACCATTCACAGAAAGGATATCAGGGTGAGGGACCCAGTGTGTGTCATTGAGCCAGTCCGTGTTGTGGTCATCCTGCAGCAGCTTCTTGTAGGTGCTCCTAAGCAGCCTCATGTCCTCGAGGTCCAGCCCAGCGTTCCAGATGTCATAGAGGATGGTCATCTGCTCAAACTCACTGCGATGGTCAAACGTGTGCCGCGACTCTGGTTCTGTTGGCAGCACTGGGGCCTGCTTGGGCCTCCTCTGCGTGGACGGGGTTACGCCGGCTTCCTGGAGGAAGAGCCGCTCGCTTTTTCTTACCTCCTCACGTTCAAACTCGATGGATTCATCCAGACCAAAGTCAGAGTCGGCCGAATCAGAGCTGGAGCTGGACAGCTCGCCCGACTCCAACTGCTCCACGTCCACGTCCTCCTCCAGGTCCTGACAGCAGAGAGGGCAAAGGCAGTGTTGGTTGGTGAAAAAAAGGACAAGCTGTGGAGATCAGACAAACTGGGGCTGCACAGTTTAGAATTATAGAGTATTTCAGATTTCAGAACAGGGGTCACCAGTCTTACCCTCAACGGGAAGGGTGTGGCTGCAGGACCAATAACTGGAACACCAGTATCAACTAATTAAACAAGTGAAATCAGCTGTACTTTTGTTTGAATAGAAAAGCCTCACCGATCTTTTGCAGATAAGGAAATAAGAACTGCTTTAGAGGTTATAAAGTTTACTAATTAGAGCTAATCTGAGTTACGAGTTTGTGGGTCTCCCTAATAATAACTTGTTGATATTATATGTGCAATAACACAAAAAGTACTTTTATCTTTGATACTTAACTACATTCAAAAGCAAGAACTTCAGTACTTTCTCAGGTACAAACACAGATAGAATATGCACTTTCAGAAGTGTTGTACTTTGCCAACCACTGTAAAACAACCAGGCCAACTAAAGGACACATTAACCCTTTAAGGATGACACTAAAAAAAGGTGCTATTTCTGCCATTTCATCTAGTCTTTGTTAGTAATGCAATTTCTGAATGATGTGTTGCGTTTATTTGATATGTTAAGCGAAGTGTTAGAGACTTTTATTTATTTTGAGACATCTATTTTGTCTTAAACTGCCATTCTGAGCATGTGTGAACGTGTGAATGGGACAATAAGGCCTGAAACACACTTCACGCAAGGGCGTGAATGCAAATGACAGTGCTGGGTAAGCTGCAAACGCTCAGTCTTTCTGTACAAACTCACTGTGCATTCTTACATTGCTGTGGCGGTTAAAACACTGAAGGGGCCGATACAAGGACAAATCAGAGAGGGATCTACTGTTATTCCAACAGCCTCCACAGCTAAATGAGGACAGTAGAAGAGAGTGAGCTGCTTTACCTCTTTCTTGGAATGGAAATGTAATGTGTCACATCATATATATGTTTATGTAAGCCATCTTTGTGTGAGACTCAACTGCTCATCTGCTAGGGGAGTCGAGAAAGCACACTTGTGGTACAAGACCAGTTGGACAGGCTTGGCTGTAGTTATGGTGTTCAGAATGCAGCTCACGGTTGGACCGCATTATGAAACGCATCATGACACATTTTTGAACACAACCATGCATGAATCCCCGTCTGAGTAGCTCAAAGCGTTCGTGTCCTTGGGTGAACTGTGTTTTGGGCCTAAGTGACACATCAGTCACCCTTTACTGTTACTTGATTAAACAAATCAATAACATGCTCTTATCGATCCAAACTGCGCTCTGAATGAGCTGCTGCGCTGTCAGAAACACTGTAATAAAGGAAGCTTTGTGCACATATTATACAGTGAAAGAAAACAGAACCGAACAGAACAGAAAGCTTTGGTCCTACATACTTAGAAATGATGGTTCTTCAGTAAAGAAAATGGTGCTATACAGAAACGAACACTGGAAGAACCCTTTGCATGATTAACGGGTTCTTTGCATCGAGAAAGGGTTCTTCAGACTGATGGAGAACGTGCTGTAGATGATTCTATGTAAAAGCTTTTTGAAAAGGTTCTATATAGCACCAAAAAGTTTAACATTGTAACAGAAAAACCCTTTTTGGTGGTATATAGAACCATCTACAGCACATTCTCCATCAATCTGAAGAACACTTTTACAAGGCAAAGAACCTTTTAATCACACAAACGCTTCTTTCAATGTCCAGGGTTCTATACGGGACCATTTCCTTTACTACAGAACACTTCAAGAACCATCATTTTTAAAGAGTGTACACGCTGAAACAGAAAAAACAATTTCATTGTTGATGTTCATGTGGCATAACTCGTCTGCCGGCAGATTTAAATGAGCAGCTTTCTTTTTCTGGGACTGTTCCAGGCTGGCTGAGTTCACGTCCTTAATTAGCCAATTAGTTGGATCAAGTGTGTAAGAGCAGGGAAAACACCTAAATCTCTGCACGGAAACACTGACTTGGATCATTTCATTAGTTGCCAGCAAATAATTGTCAACATAAACAACTTCATGGATCCCACTGCGCTATTAAGTAAATGTTAATCACGAACAGACAGCATACAAAACTCAGGCAGACAGCGAGCCAAGCCACCACGCTGTTGCAATTAAAATGAGCAAAGGCGCATGGAGACATACAGCGACACGCAAAAGCAGCCCTGGTCAACAATTCTGTTACTGTGAACAGTTAAGCACAGATTTCCAAAAGGCATAAAGACATTTTAAGCAAGATTAGTGTATTATTTTTGTTTGTTCCTAAACTTTTGCATGGTGCCCCTTGAGATCTGAGCTCTCAGATAACTTGTACCAAGGTACCAGACCTTAATTAGCTTGTTAGGTCTGTTGGGAAAGGCCAAAGCTTTAGAAATACTCTGCACTCCTCAAGCCTTGTCTTAAAAATCAGCAGCCACGGGCTCCTCTAAGCAGCATCCTAGCAAAATTAAAATAATTCATGCCTACAAAGCAGAATGCGGCTTTAAGAAGACAGCAAAGCGTTTTCAGGTAGCCGTTTTCTTAGTTCGTCACGTAATTAAGTAATGGCACTTAACAAGAACGGTAAGATCAAGCTGAGGTCTCAAAGGCTTTCTGAGAGAACTGCTTACATGATTGTTGAAAAAAGGCAAATCAAACCACCTCTCTGACTGCAAAAGACCTTCAAGAAGATTTAGCAGACTCTGAAGTAGAGGTTTTGGTCGCAAAGAGCAAAGGCATGTTTGGAGAAAAAAGGATGCAAAGTTTCATGAAAGGAACACCTCGCCAACTGTTAAGCAAGGGATGTTGCAGCCAGTAGCACAGGGAACATTTTACTGGTAGAGGGAAGAATGGATTTAATTTAAGCAAACATATCACGCTCTGAAAAAAAGTTAAAACTGAAAAAAATGATGGCTTCTACAGCAGGATAATGATCCTAAACACACTTCAAAATACAACGGACTACCTCGAGAGGCACAAGCTGAAGGTATTGCTATGGCCCTCACAGTCCCCCCGGCCTTAACGTCAACAAAAATCTGCGGATAGACCTCAAAAGTGCAGTACATGCACGATGGCCAAAGAATCTCACACAACTAGAAGTCTACAAAACGCATTACAAGCTGTGACACTTGCCAAAGGAGGTGTTTCTAAGCACTGACTGTGCACAGCGTTTCAGGCCTTTTCACTTTGTTATTCTGAGACGTAAAAGATAGAAATAAAAAGTAATCTTGATTAAAATATTAAAGAAACGGGTCTTCTTTAACTTCACCCCTTTTGGATATTAGGTTCTTTTGCTCGCTTCTACTATTCACAGTAACAAATTTTGACCAAGGGGTGCCCAAACTTTTGCACGCCACTGTTACAGAAATGGCACTGCATCCGCAGTCTTGTTTCAACAGGCCACAGGTTGAGGTTGGAAACTTGTGAAACGTTCTGTGCGTTATTTCTCAAGGAAGAAAAAAAACTCAAGGAAAACACATCCACACACCTCTAACTTCCCTTTTCTCTGTTTCTTGCTCTGTTCCTCCTTCTGCCTCTTGGGGAGTTGCACATCCACATTCTCTTTATCTTTCTTAGTCCTCTTTTTACTCTTCCCTTTCTCCAGCTCCTCCCTCTTGAATGACCCTTTCTTTTTGGAAGCGGGACTGAGGAACTGGGCCTCAGCCGAGTCCCCGGCCTCGCACACGAGACCCATTCCGGGGAGGCTTCCGTAAAGTTCGGCTGTTTCCCCTCTGCCCATCTGGGCATCTCCGATCACCTCCTCCGGAGCCTCCTGCACACCGTGCTGGTTGAGGTCCGCGGGGAGTAAGACAGTGGAGTCCTGTTTTGTTCTCTTTTGGGAAGAAGGGAGAGGAGAAGGAGGGAGGAGAGCAGGATATTTGGAGTAATTGTGTTCCTGCAGGACGAACATGCCTTCTGGGTCCAGCAGGGGGAGCCGAGGGTGCGGAGCAAACAGATCCCCCTCTTCCTCCTCCAGCTTGCGCTCCTCAGCCTCGTCTGAGGTTTCCGTCTCCTCAGAGTCTACATCCGCGTCGGGGTCCATCTTCAAAGCTACGTCGGCCAGCACAGACAGGTCAGGCGGGGGTGCGGTGGCTAGCTGCAGCAAGCTGGACGCTCCTACCTGCTCCCTGAGCCGCAGCCTCTGCTCTAACTGCTCCTCTTCATCATCCTCATCCTCCTCCTGCAACACGGGGTGTAACGAGGAAGCAGGGGAACCAGACTGGCTGACTGTTCTGGGGCGGCCACGAGGCCGACCCTTCTGAGTGGGCGTGGTTGGGACGGGGACTGGCTCCTCGTAAGCAACTCGGACCAGAGAAGCATGGTCCAGCGGTAGGTTTTGCACTGTAAGACATACAGGAGTGACAGGCGTTTTGGGGGAGTCTTTGCCTGCACCTCGTCTGGAGGGAGACTTTGCAGGGGGTGTCTGCGGGGACTGATGGGGGCCTGGACTTTTCCTGGGCTCCTCTGGCCGGAGGGAGCGCACAGGAGGAGGGACGGTGAGAACGGAAGTAGGGGACTGGGGAAGGGCGCTAGCCTCGCCCGGGGAGGAGGCGAATGGGCGGAGCATTGGGAGAGGTTTGGAGGACACTGGTGGAGTAGCAGCGGTGGGCGTGGTTCCAGGAGAGGCTGCCGTGAGCACATCTGGAGGCTGAGCTTTGACAGGAGAAAGGAGGAGAGACTGAGAGGGAGTGGGAGTTGCAGGTGGAGACAGCGGCCCGGTGGAGGGCTCTGGGGTAGGTTTGACCTCGTTCTCCTCCATGGAGAAGGACACGGTCTTGCGCCGCTTCTTGAGAGGAGGCAAGATGGGAGATGAAGGGCGAGGACAAGGTGGAGACGATGGCCGTCGATCTGTGGGTCCAGCTGTGGTCGTCTTTTCTTCTGCGTTCAGAAAACAAGTGAGAACAATTAAGTGAGAGGAAAAAGAGGAAACAGGGTTTTCCAACAAGCTCAATGTAAAACTCAAAAGCATGTGTGGGATTCTTTAGCGTACCCGGTTTGACCTCCACAGCAGCCACAGCAGATGATTGGTCGATGCTTGCTTTTTCCCTGTAAGAAAGAAAAACCGTCACTTTTTCATACAAATCTCTCCTCACTTTAGTCATAAGTCAATCAAAAAAAAAAAGTACATACTTCTCTTCTTTTTCTGTGTCCAAGGCCACACTCTCCATTGTAGACTCATCCATTGTATCCAGCCCCTCACTCTCCTCTGCCCGCTCCACTTCCTCATCTTCTTCGTCTGAGGACGAAGATGAAGAGGAGGACGAAGACGAGGACGAGCTCTCAGATGAAGAAGAGATGCTCTCATCGTCACTGTCTGCACTGAGAGCTTCATCTAGTGAAAAAATACACACATAAATATGAAATAAATGTAAATATTACATATAAAATTCACGTTCATTAACAGAAATTTAAAAACATTTAAATGTTTACATTTCTAAATTTTACAACCACCTACCCTCTGACTCATCTTTCTCACTGTCATCTTCATCCTCCTGTGAAACACAAATCAAAGCACAAAACCGCAAATCAGTGACAGTTCTATACACTCAAACATTACGACACGCCTAAATGTGCTCTCTGCAATAACTAATCGGCCTGACATGAACTACTTTCCAGAAAAGACTAGGATCCAAGCACACGCAGTGCACTGCTGCCACCTAGCTTTCACTCCATGCAACAACCCACATTACTGGCTTCTAGTTGACACACAAATGAAAGATTCTGCTATTTTGTTGCTGGATGTGAAATCCAGCCTTCACAAAAAGCTCATTTTTAAATTAAACATGCCTAGAAAACATGACAGAAATACTAAAAAACAAGGAATGGAACTGATAGAGGGCTTGTTTTTTTCTACTGTGGTCACATCACAACATAGAACCAGGTGTGCCAAAGATGTATTCCTGTATTTTATATCTTTACCTGCAATGACAACAACAAATTTAATTTTTGCTGTCATGTTCCATCCATTTAATCAATAACATATCATGATATCCTTCACAGTAATAGCAGAGGATGAGAATATTTTCCATGAAATACAAAAAAATAAAAGAATAAAAAAATCTGTAAAATAAAATAAAAAAGGGACACTCAGAATTAAACACCTTTTCAGAGGAAGATTCATCTGATGTCTCTTCTCCTTCGCTGTCCAGGTCGTACGGTTTACGGGCCTTGGTTCTCTTTCTCCTGCGAGCTGCCTCTCTGTCGGGTGCCCGACTCTCCTCTGGCCGTCCTGCAATGTCGGGACCCTTACCCTGAAACGAGTCTGAGAGGAGACACAGGATATGATGTCAAAAAGTGCTCAGACTGAAGAGAAAGGAAAATTAAAATCACTCTGAATACCTGTGAAACTTATGTAAGCCGAGACCGGAGGAGAGACTGAGACGGAGTGGGTGTCTGACATTCACGTCTTTCATTTTACATTTGATTTATGAGGCTAATGTAGCTAAGAAATAAGAGAACCTTACACCCACCAGCTTGCATTATATCTGTTCCAACATAAGAAACCTCAGAAAAATGAAATATTGTGATAAATTAAGATGTAACATCATAATGCATCACCCACACCCAAGTAATAGCAGTCTTGAAGTATGAATTGTCAGCACCTACGTTCACTACTGTAGATAACTGTATGACATACAAAGTGCTTAGTTTTTACCCAAACCACTGTTTCAAATAAAGGGACAGACAACGAGCTTCAAATCTGTATAAAGTCACGTATTTCAGGGCTGGAAAGTTCACCTTCGTCCTCTTCATCCGGTGGAGTGGAAGGTCTGGCTCTTTTCAGTGAAGCGTCCTCTGCGAGCTCCTGAGGCTCTTTCCTTTTCACCTGGAAACAAACACCCACATGAATTAGTCATTTTTGCCAGTTCTGGCTCAGGCTACTGTCAGCATTTTTCACAAAACAAAAGAACCAGTACAAGTCTGGTACGAGGCCAAGAGCTGCTTCAACTAAACGAAATCACCCACTTTAATCTTGTAAATCAGCGTTTCAGATTTTCACACATGCTTTCATCCTGTTTTACATTAAGACAAATTAAACTAGCAGTTTGTAATGTGATACAGCTGTTCGTCAGACATGAGTAGTGAAGAAAGGGACAGTCCAGCTCCTGTGGCAGGAGGGTCCAGCAGTATCCCTTCTAAGAGAAATTTGTGATTTTATAAAAATTCTGGTGCACTCAGAGTAAAATACACAAGTAACTACAGTAAATAATATAGTCCTCATAGTTCAATAACTATGCAAGTAAAAATCATGTCCAAAAACTGTGCTTTATTTTTATTACTTACGTATTCTGCTTTATTTGTTCATTTTTGTTTAATCTATTGCTTACCAAACAAAAGGTGAAAAGGTCAGCGAAATTTTGCAGACAATTCATTTTAACACCCCACGTCAAAAAGGCCATTCTGAAAACTGCCCATCATTAAGGTTCTACTGGCTTCATAAGGTGCTTGGACACCAATGATCGCCGCTTATGTTATGTTTGTAGACAGTTGCTTAGTGGTTACAGTAATCCTCAAATAAAAAAAGTTGTAGCCGACTGTCTTTAAACAATAAATTACATTTAGTGACCTTTTTTGCACCAACTGTTCAAAAGCTACAGAAGTGAGAAATCACATAAGAAAATTAAACCAGCTTCACTCTTCATAACATCGTTTCTCTCATTTCAGGTTTCAGTAATATTATCTTAGCGTTGTGTAAATGTGTGGCTGAATAACGTCCGTGAATCGCTGCTGTGCTTTGAGGAGGTGAGTGATCCTCTCTCAAGAATTCTTTGCTGGCAGACCCTCTCCTTCCCAAAATTAGAAACTCATCAAATGTACCCGCTTCACATGGACGGCACATTCATCACCCAAAACAGCGAACCGAATTCTCCTGAAAATAGAAGAGTTTGCAGGTAAGTAAAGCCAGGTACCTTGAAAGATGGTAATCGCAGTGCCCCCCGCAGGGAGAAGCCCTCCAGGCCTCCACTCTTAGCCCAGTCCACCAGAGACATGATCGGCTCGCGAGGCCGACTGCTCGTCGTCGTCGCCGCCGCCGCCGTCGCCGTCTTCTCCTCCTTCTTCTCTTCCTCTCGCACCACTGAAACGCCTCTCATGGCTGTCTGGAAAGGCTGAGAGAAGAGAAAAAGAGTGGCTTGTCAGGTGAGCAGAGGAGTTTGGTAGAAAATCAAATAATAGACTTTAATTAATAATTCTAATTATCTAATTAGATTTATTTGGATTTATCTCTCCAGTGTTAGTTGTTGTGAATTCCCACTAACTGAAAGCAGCTCTGCTATCAAACAGTATCAACTAATCGGTGAGATCTTGCTGAACTGCTGTTCCTGCAAAAGTCATAAGGCAGCGGATGGCACTTTCGGCACCCGAGTTAAAGACGCCCACAGTTGGCATAATCACGATGGGAACAAATGAAGTTTAACCAAAATGATGCATCACTCTAAGCCAGTCTCTCCAGACACCCTCAGCATGTTTCCTCAACACGATTAGTAACACATACAGGTGTAAATCTCCGTCTCAGCAACGATTCAGTTCAACTATAATCCTTTAAGAAGCAATTCAATGCATCCTGAAACCTAATTTAATCATGATTCAATTTAATTTGGTTATTTATTTTACGACTCCGAATTTTAAAGGGCTCATATCACGGAAATCTGAATAATTTCTCTCAATTTTTAAATGAGTTTGATGAAGTATGCAAACGTTGTTAAAGTCTCAAATCATACCGTTCACGCCGCAGCCCATATAGAGAGATTAACCTGCAAAAACAGGCCCTTTTGAATTCATAGTTTTCATGACATCACAGAGACAGATGAAATACATTCACTTATGTAGCCTACAGCAGTTTAGTTCAATTCATCTTCAAGTTGCAAAGAGTATTTCCACCCAGACTGCTTTTAAAATAAGGTACAATATACAGGAGCAAATCAGAACAGAGCTCCTTTAAATACATCAGTTTCAAAGGCACAGCTGAACAAAAAAACCCAGCCTGATTAACTCTAAAATAGGTTCCTGAGTTTTTTACAGCCCCATACACCTCAGACATCCAGATTTCTGCTGCGTTCCCCTTCGGTCAACACACACGCACACGTATATTGCCGTGATGCATATCACTCTTGTCGGAAGAAAACCTTGTATCTCCAAAATGGTAACTTTACAGCAGAAGGAAAAAACTTACTTCACTTTCAATGAAAGACAATGGAACCAGACTTTTTTCCAAGTAATTTTGGGCTGCTTCCGTTGGTCCATTCTTCACGAAATTTATGTACGCATAATGCAAATGCAAGGGACAACAGACATTTTCAAATCTAAAAACTAAAAAAACAACAAAAATGGAGATATGAGGTTTTCCTCCGACAGCAGCTACATGTAAGACATTTATAAAATCAGTCCACCTTAAAATATGTTATTATACCAGATGCACACTCAGAAAAAGGTACCAAACCAGGGGTGTCAAACTCAACCACTAAAGGGCCCATATTAAAAAAATCTCAACAAATCTGTGGGCCAGGGAAAAAAAACTGTTATTTTATTTATTTATTTATTTTTTTAACAGTGTTGTGCTGTAACCTGAACTGGCCATTGTTTATTCAAAACACGCAAAAACTTCACCAGTAAAATACAGTCACTTGTAGTAGAGCTTAAAATATTACACGAATATTCTAAATGTAAACGTCCTCAGGAGCTCAGTCTTTTAAATCTGCCCATCTGCTTGAACTGGACACCTGACATCCTTTCTTTGCTTCAAGTTCGTTAAGACTTGTGCTCAGTTTCTGAGCTGCAGAGCTGACGTTTAGTGTTTACATTGGTTGAAATGCAGCTAGTGTGTTTGATGATCTGACTGGTGTGGAATTGTGTAGAACTGTGTAGATTTGAGGTGTAACCGCTGTCCCATAGACTGCTGTTGGGGTAGAAGAGTCAGAGTGCACATTCTGTTGCAGTGCATGCTGGGGACTGTAGTGCGGCACATTGTGAAACAGGCTAATATTAAGAGAAAATTAAAATACTTTTGGGGGCCTGATGAGATTGTGTCGTGGGCCTGATCTGGCCTGCTTGTGCTTGACACATAGGTACAAAACTATGGGGGGGGGTCCTCAAGGGGGGTCTTCAGGATCATTAGTAAGTTAGTAACAAAGTGCACCTAAATAACACCTGTTTTCTGACAGTGTAAAACAATTAATTTGATAAATTCAATGTTTAAAATAAATAATCCATAAATTAATAAAGATATTTTAAAAATGAAGTTAGGGTTGTTTCTGTACTACTGTATTATAGCTGAGGGTCACTACGGAGTTTCTGTCAGAGCTCAGGGTGACCGCGGATTAAACTTTCTTTATTTGTAATCATAGTGGCTGCAGCATCAATATGTGGGCACATGTGTGAGAGCGTGTCTGCGCCTTTAAAAAGAACAATGAGTAATAAAATGTTTAAACCAAAGCCGAATAACTGACTAAAACCACAAACCAAACCGCGTCTGCAAAAAGTGAAGCTAACTCGAGTTCATGACTAATAAACATTATAGAGGCCTTAACAAAGGTTAAGGACACTTTTCCTTCACAAACACAACAGTGCACGACAGACTGAATTAACTCGTTAGTGTCGTTAGTTTCTCCTGAACACGCGACGCTCATTAGGGGCATCTTTCTGCTCCAACACAACCTTCTTTGATCAAATAGTAAACCACCAAAGTATTAGAGCGTTGGCTCTGTGCTAGAAGCTCTCCGTGTCACTCCTATTGGAGTACCTGTGAGACTGCGTGGCCGGCTGATTAAATGAAATTAAAAAGATTGATGTCTGATTTTTTGACGTACCCCCTGTGTCATTCGACCTACCCACAATTTGGAAACCACAGCTCTAAGCGATTAAGAGAGGTTCGGAAAATGGTCACTTAAAAAAAGAATCATAACCATTTTTGGAAGATTAAACCACACAAACCTTAAAATATATGAAAAAGTACGACAGTGGTCCTTCAACAAAACTGTGAAAAACAATGCACACAGCCTTGTCGCTTATTTTTATCTTTAAAATTCGAGAACTTTTGTTTGGTCGAAACATAACATTGAATACTGAACAGTATCAAAACCAATTATCACCAAAAGTGACCCCATTTAGGGGTGGGCACTGTGACGATATTTTAGCATATTATAACTTATGTCACAGCTCGCCTTTCTGAGCACACTGTGGATATTGTCAGCACTTCAAGAATATCGACAAACTACATGTTTCACTGCATGGTGAGCATAATTTGTCCTGTTTAATTGGATTCACTGTACAGCATGCCAAACAACCAGTGATGGGCCAATCCACATTTTTCCAGTTCCGATCTGATTTCACTACACGACTGCCGATACCGATCTATACACCTCTTTTTTACTTTGAAAGTATCGTTATTATTGTTGGTATTGTGTTTTATGTTGTGTTTAATCTTCCAATCACTAAGCATATCTGTAATAAAGGCTGCAGCTGAACCGCTGGTGTGTGAGCCCCTGCACTTTCTCACCTGATGCACCGCACTCTGTAGTGTATATGTTTACGAGTTCACCTGGTTTACAGTGAGACTTATGAGAGACACTAGGCTCACATCTGAGATCCAAATATATGTTGTGAAGCTCATGGCTTTAACATCTAGCTAGCTGTGCCGCTAACACAGCCGGTTGTACAGTTCAGGTAAAGCAGTCTCTGAATCTCTGAAACGTATTTTCTGGATGGAGATTATCCCCATATAGGCCCAATCCCAGTTCAGCCCTCGCCACTACCACTTAGCCCTTAGCCCTCTGTTTTGCGTTCATATCTAGCGGTAGGGTGTCCCCATTTTTTTTTTAAACAGAGGGGTAGGGCGAAGTGTTAGGACTACATGGCCCTCCAAACGGAGGTTTTTCAGAGTCACACTCCAAACAGTGTTATGAGAAAAAAAGAAAAACGGGCAAGATGGCTGTGCGAGCAACCAAAGAAACCCACAAATGTAAGTATTTTCTTTTTAATTACGCTGCTAGAATGTAATTGCTGCACCATTTAAGGTGGAACAGGAAAATTCGAACAAGAACCTGGAGAATATCTGACTTCAGCTTCGTATAACCAAAGATTTAGCAGTGGGCGATACTAAATAACTGTCTTATACTCCGTCTTTAAAGGCACATGATACCCTAAATGTAACTAAAGCCCAGCAGTGAGGAGCTGAACTTTACCCTCCTCTGCTATCACTGCAGACGGGATGGGTACAGAGCAGCGCTAGTAGCTGTTAATGAAGCAGGTTTTTTTTTTTTTTTAATTTGAGGGTTGTCCCATTTCGTAGGGCAAGATTTCAACCACTACCCCTTGTAACTCAGTCAGAGTGACACTCGAAAACAACAGGTAAGGGTAAAAAGAAGAAATGGGATTGGGCTCTAAGTTCCCCAACAGGCTGCGAAATCCAACATTTTCCACTACAGGTAGCGGCAGGTCATCGAGTATAATGAAGCTGAGCAACTTCTCTGTGATCCTTTTAACCTTTGGTTTGTCTGCTGGATGTTTAGCACATTTCTGGAAAGCATCATCGAGAGTCTCTGCTGCCTGGTAGCGTCTTCCTGTCTGTTAGCTGGCATGAACTCCTGGTACTGTTTCACATGAAACCTCTGCAGGTCTTGCTTTTGGCGTTTCCAGACTAAAATATCTTCAAACAAACAACATTTAATTAAACCAACAGCTGATGTTTTTTTGCTCGCTGAGTTACAGACTGAAGTTGCCGCACGTTCATGGTAGGATGTGGAATGAAATCTGGATCGGTGATGTGTCTGTTATGATATGTTGCATTACAACGGGTTCATTGTCCAGAACAAGCTGCAGACCGGAATATGGATCGGTAAGTGGATCGGCCCTGTCTGTCCGATATCCGATGGGTGAAGTGATGTTGATAGAATTTATCAAACCTCAGAAGAACCAAATATTGTTATATGTAACATGTATCGGGGTGGTTGATACGTCAAAAATATCGTATCATGATGCTTTTCACTCTACACAGTAAGCATCACGATACTGTGACAGACTTAATGCACTAGTAATGCCGCATTTAAAAACTGTCATCAAAAACTAACACAACGACTTTTGATCATACTACACTAAATTAAACAGGGCTAATTATGCTCTCATTGCAATGAAACAATCAGTTGTTCCCTGAAGTACAGACAATATCCATGATACAGACAGAAATGTATATTGTTTATCACAATAACAAAACTTGTCTTGATAAAGACCAATTATAATCATGTTTCCCACCTCTTTCATAACTTGACATAATATTTTTTGCCTTATCATCCATTTCAAAACATAACACATCTTACTGGCCTCATCTGCTCTTACCTTAGCCTTCCTCTCCTTACGTTCCCACCACTCGTCAAAGGTGCCGAAAGCCACGTTTTCCACCATCTTGCGGTTCAAGTCCCTCTGCATGATGTTCTTCATCTCCTCAATTAGAACGGACAGGACCTGCTGGACCGTGGCCTCGTGGGGGTTCTGGTCCATCATGGCCATCGGGTTACCCGTTGCCCCATAGTGCTCTCCCTCCACACCCGGCGCTGCACCGTAGGCTGGCATTGGGTAGTGGGAGGGATAGTGCTGTGGTAGGACGTGCGGAGGCCAGGGACTGTGTGGAGGAGGGATGGCGTGGTGGTGAGGTGGGGGAAGCTGGGCAGCGTGCGGGTCTGGATAGGGGTACGGCATGTGAGGGGGCATATAGCGGTGGTCCTGATCGTAGTGGTTAGCTGCGATACCGTCTTGGTCCATGTAGGGGTGATGTGGGTGTGGCGGAGGTGCATGGGGATGGGGCATAGAATGGAGGTGGTAAGAAGGTGGGTATTCAGAGGCAGGGGGGTGCTCTCCAGGGGGCACTGCAGAGCCATTACCCGCAGCCATTCGCATCTGCTGCAGGCGGCTGAGCATCTGCGTCTGCATCTGGAAAGACATGCCACTGTACTGGCTCATCAGTTCCATGGAGTTGGCATAGTCGTACATATGGTGCGGCAACGGCGGTGGATACTCCGGGTGCAGCTCCATGTGGGGCAGCGGAGGAGGAATGCCAGGGGGTGGAGGAGGCTGTAGGGAGAAGCCAGGTGGGGGTGGAGGAGGCAGGTGGGGAGGGTAAGAGGGGATGGGTGGAGGTGGCATGGTGGAGCTGAAGTGCTGTGTGCTGTCAGGAGGAGGACTAGCCGAGGGGTCCGAAGTCTGTGAGGGAAGAACTGTCTGTGAAGAGGTTGTAGGTGAGGAGGAGGAAGAAGCGGCAGCATGATGAGGCATCACCATGGAGATGGCAGCATCATCTTCTTCTTCAGATATCTCCATGTCTTCTCCGGAAGAATGAGGAGATGGCTGAGGAAGTGTTAAAGACAAGGAAGATAAATGCCATGTTTTTGTGAGATGCAGAAACAAAGATCTACAGCAGGAGAAGTCTGGCATTGCATCTGTTTGTTACTATAAAGCAACGCACATGGCACAGTTCTACTGGAGCTAGATTAGTTTTAGGTTCTATAATGTAATTTGAAAGACATTTGACTGGTTGGACCATATCTGATAAAATATCTGTCCAATTTCTCCAGCTTTACTGAGACAGACTGGGTCATAGCCTGGATAGAAAGGTCAGCTCATCAGCTTCACTCCACAGCTGACCTTCAATGACAATAGCAACATGGCAATGATGTGTCTATTGTGAGGTGAACTGGAACAGGACTACTATTACCGATGGAGTCTTGGGTTTAATCGATTACAGAAGAGCATTCACTACAAAATTATTACCGAGACTAAACTACACCTTCTTACCGAGACTAAACTACACAGAACGTCCCCAGATAAAACTTACCCAGCACACACAAAGTTTAAAATACTGATAAACAGCTTTGTTGTATAATGTCTATTTGTAAAATGAAAAATCTGACCCACCACCAGCAATTAAGACTTTATCCTGACTTAACTAAACATACATAGGGCAGAACTATATTACCTCTCCTATTCACCACCACAACAAATCCCTACAAAGCGGACTGGTATACTTTTGATGATGTTGCTCTAGAACTGTGTATGGTTCTGTATTTTTGTGGCCAGCAGTGAAAACCCATGAAGCAAAGCAGAGCAGAATCTCTCTTCTATAGCCTTGCAGAATCACAACTTCTAAACTGATGTTCAAATTTTACTATAGCTTTTAGTGCAAGCAAATTCTGCAGAAGTTGAAGCATTTTCGGTAGGACCACATCAATCAAATCTCCAATTTAGGAGAAGTAAGTAAACATTTTTTAGTTTAAGGCTAGCAAAATACATTCAACTGAGCCCTGTATCCCACTAGTTATCAATCCTGACCACTAACCTGCACACTGTAGTGCTCTCACTGCACCAACACACTCAGTTTCCCCTTACAACAGACTTTTTAATTAGTTAATTAGTTGAGTCAGGTGGGTGTGTGAGCAGGGAAATATGCAGGGCAGCGGTCCTCCAGGACTGGGATTGAGGACCACTACTCTTTTACTCTAACCAATCACCAAATTCTGTGTGTCAAATACTGTAGAAAACTGTTTAATCATGTGTTTGTACAATAAGGCATATTGAAAGTAGGGATGCCCAGGTTAAAGCGCCTAAATGTTGGTGCAGTAAAGAATTTACTCCGTTTGTGCTCACTGAGTCGGTGGTGTAAATGTAGCGTGTTGATATAATTTAATACGCTATGGATTTGCTCTGATTGGTCTTGATTTTTTACTGTATTGGGAACTGTATGGTGTCATGGCTGTTGGACAGTGCTGTGTATTCAGTGTACTGTGCCTTGTATTCAGCCTGATGTTGATTTATTGACTGTATGTACCACTTTTTGCACTCTGACTTCAGATTGTTAACATGTTGCCATAAAAATGTTAACGTCTCAACAATAAATATATAAATAAATAAATAAATAAAAAAGTAGGGATGCACCGATGTTCTCAATATTCTAATGATTCCATTCCCTGAACTGATAAATACCAATTAGGAGTGTTTTTCTAATCCTTAAATGAAATTCTGCATCTGTCATACAACATACTGTTACAGTTAAACGGTTAACTCCATAACAAACTTTCGTAATCACAGATTTTCTTTGAATCATATTTCATATCAGTCACACTCTCAGTAGAAGTATTTCATTAAAAACTATACTCTATTTTTTTAGGGTTACTAAGTGTAACTAATCACTGAAGACATTTTAACTATCATCAAATTTTTTTAGTCCATATTAAAATGGCTAAACATAAAATTCTGAAATAGTTATCATCTGATGAAAGTAAATAAAAGTATTTTTATTCTGAAATGCTGCAGCACTCTGTAAAGAAACACATGGCATATTTCACGTTTGCGAAGAAACATGTTTCCCCTCCCTAAACCAGTCTGCCTGTAATGTGATCACTCATGATTAAGTGCTGCATGCAGACATTCAGTTCTATCAATTACAACACAAAGAGAAAATTTTTGTATTTTGCATTTTGGAAATATACTCTTCCATTTGAAAGTGACCGTGTATTAGAAACAGTATCAACAGTGAATTGGCCACATCTGGCTGATACCCAATCCGTTTAGGTCAGCGTCAGTGTATCATTAATTGCAAGCGCATTAGAGGAATATAATCGCATTCTGTCCATATATTGAAGCCCTAACATCTTTACTTACCTGTCCTTCTCCGTTGTAGGTGGGTGGAGTGTGGGCACCTACAGCCTTGTGTGTGTCGGAGGCCATGTGAGAGAGTTCCTCCTGGGAGAAAACCGGCTGGTCCTGTAAGTCCGACATTGAGCCGGAGACAGAAGCGCTGGAGGCCTCCACCTCCGCAGGACTTTTCCTGCTTTCTCCCCCAACTTGCTTCTTGCCTCTGTTCCGTCGCCCATCCCTGTCTCCTCTTCTCCTCTGGCCTCCGTCCGCCTCCCCTTGCCTTTTGAGGTTCGCTCTCTCCAAGTCCCCTTCTCTCTGCTTACTTGACTCACCATCAGTGTTCTGCACACCTCTCCTCTCCTCCTCCTTCCTTTCTTCCTCCTCGTCGTCCGAGGCGAGGAACGAGAACTTTGACTTTTGATCCTTCAGGAGCATCTCGATACGCGAGTCCAGGCTGCTGCTGTGGTGAACGAACGGTAGGCTCTCATTGGTGGAGTCCGGTTCTGGAGAGGAGGAGTCTCGCTGTGGGAGGGGCGGAGAGAGAGAGGCTGTGGAGGAGGGGAGGTGGTGAGGGAGGGAGGTAGAGGAGGGAGAGGTGGAGGATGAAGGGATGGAGGCATGGGGAGGAGAAGAAGGCGGAGGAGTGCGCGGGGGCTGTGGGGGGGTGCTGGGACGGCGTTTCGGTAACGTCCATTGCTCTTCTCGAGAGGGGCTTCCCTGGCCGAAATCCAGTGAGCCCAGAGTTTCGGCCACTGCGGCCGCAATGACAGAGGCTGGAGGGAGAGGAGGGGGAGGAGGGGGAGGAGGCGGGGGCAAGGGGGCGTGGTGAGAAAGGGAACGATAGTCATTATCCATTGAACCTCGTTCCCCGGCACCCTGCTGTCGGAAGGACGGCGAGGGGTCCAACCTGGATGAAGAAGGGGTGTCGTGAGCAGGCAAGTCTTTAGGCTGGGGGTAGCCTCCATATGAAGCGGAGGCAGGGGGAGGAGAAAGGCTGTTAGAGGAGCGGTGACTGGAGTATCGAGGGTCCGTGCTGTTGGCGTAGTCTCCGTCTCGCTCCCTATCTCTTTCCCAGTCTCGGTCTCTGCTGCTTCTCCGCCGGCTGTGGTGGTTATGCGAGTGGTGGTGGTTCCGGTGCCGTCCATGTTCGCCAGACCGCGAGCCAGAACTGTCCCGCCGATATGGTCGGCCGTCCCCGCGCTCCTCGCGCCTGTCAGGGTGGTGGGAGTGGTGGGAGTGATGGGAATGGTAAGAAGATTTGGAGGAGGGAGCAGACGAAGAGTTCACGTCCTGTTGGTGGTGGTAAGAGGAACGCCGAGAAGTCCCATAACGCCCCCCGGAGTCCCTGTCTCGCTCCCTTTCTCTAGGCCCCCTTTCTCTGTCTCTGTCCCTTTCTCTGTCAGCCACAGGTGGGGACTCGTATAAGGAGCCTGAGGGTGGTACATGTGGGAGTGGGGGCATATGCATCCCGGTCCCGCTCGCATTAGGAAACGGAGGGTAGCACGGAGGCTCATTGGGTCGAAACGGCGCAGAAGGAGGGGGGAATCCAGGTCGACCTCTGTGGTACATGGAGGGGTCTTGTGAGGGAGCTGCATGGGATTCGTCATAGTAACGCGGGGGCTTGAACCCTGATGAGGAGGACACCGCAGAGGAAGAGCAGGATGAAGAAGGGAGCATGTCCTGTGGAGCGTAACCACTGTTGAGAGGAGCCCCACTAAAACCTGCATGCCTGCAAACAGAGGAATAAACAGGAAATTAATTCGGATGACGCAGGAAGAGTAATAATATCGGCTTTGTGCACACGCCGTCATGTAACTGCTTAGAAGCTAAGAATCTGTTTAAAAATATTGATTGAATCATTTCGAACTGTTGATTTTTATTTGTGAAAACCAAATACACCTCTACAGAAATTGTGGCATATGCAAACTTCATGGCACATTCATTATTTATGTTTTATTTTTCTCCTATTTGTTGCTCAGAAAATAAGCAGAAACTGCACTACAATTTGAAGAACGATGTCGTTTTTTAATCTGTCCCCTGTAGAGGATGTGTTAACTGTTTTTCCCTCTTAGAACATCAAAGTGTGAATGTTGTGTGTTTAAACTTTTGCATACAACTGCCTGTCTGCACTTTCCCTCTGCTGAATAAAATGAGAATGGTCCATGTTCTCTCCTTTAATTCAATTCCTCTTTGCTGCTACGGCTCCTTGCCCTGAGTTTGGCAGCAAAGGTAGCTCAGTGAAGCCTTTTCTCCATATAAGGCATTCAAAGCTTTTATAACGTTAATGATGCAGGTGAGAGCTGCAGGAGACCCACTGAAATTAGTGGTGCATGATGATATCAATCATCAGTATCATTCATTAAATGCTTAGATTTGACCTTCAATTCAAACTAATATTTGATGAAACAATTAACATATGGTGGAAGAGCAAAGGTCTACTACGCAAAATTTATGTTTATTTATGTACGTTAAAAATTTCCCTATACAAGTATCTGTTACAAAGTGGATCTAGAACCAATGACTACGTTTTAGAAAATGTGCATATTTCGGCAACAACGTGATAGACATGTACATGATTTTTTACTGTGTCAGTGCACAGTTAAAATACTGAGCTGTAAGCACTCTAAAATATTGTGACTGGTTAAATAACTGCACATACCTGCCGCCGGAGTAGCCTGAATCCTGGGAAAAGGGGGTCCCAGAGCGTGATGAGTAAGGAGTGTTTCCGCCTTGTGAGGAGGAAAAAGAACCTGGGGTGTACTGCCCACTGTGCGAGGATGGGGGGGTATCTAGACGTTGTTCCCCAAATCCAGTGTCCACAGAGCATGGGGTGGTACTGCCGGGAGGTGGAACTGGCACCGGCTGATCTACAGAAAGCCTCCGCCTGACATCAGAGGACTGGGGAAAAAAAATGGTAGGAGAAGACAGGGGTTTAGCCAGAAGACAAAATACAGCAACACAGATGCATCTATGAACACTTGAAAACATGAGTGACAAGCAATTTTAAGAGACCATATTAAATCCCATACATGGGAACTAATATTCACGTATACCCGCCAGTTCAGCCTGCAGGAGTTTAGCACACCCATCATGTTATGAGATGCATCTCAGCTTTGAGTGCTTTTTGAATAATGTACAGTACAGGGTAGCCAACCAGAACAAAGCTAATTTACATATACCAATTTTAAAATCAGACTGACTAAGAGTCTGTTTAAATTTAGAAAATAAACAGAGGTGGGAAAATGGTCACCTCTGCATTTAAACCTTCCGTGCAGTGAAACACCTCATACACACACTAGTGAGTACACACACACTAGGGGGCAGTGAACACGCTTGCCCGGAGCAGTGGGCAGCACTATCCACCTCAACCCGGGGAGCAGTTGGGGGTTAGGTGCCTTGCTCAAGGGCACCTCAGTCACGTACTGTCTGCTCAGGGGATCGAACCAGCGACCTTCTGGTCACAAGGCTGGTTCCCTAACCTCCAGCCCATGACTGTCCCCAATAACCCCGTTTTGATGCAAAAAAAACCAGAAACTTATATAACATAACAGGAATGCAAGGAAAAAAAAATGTCAGATACGGGCCCTTAAAATGGTAATCTATACAAACCTTAAAACAAAAAAAAATACATGCAGAAGTATGATACCATAATATTACACAATATTACAGTCTCTATGACAGTCTTTGAACCCAGCAAAGATCAGAATCCTACATGTGCACTTACTGTGTCAGGCTGGGCTGGAGCAGGGGGCTGAAACTTCTCTGTGAGGGCTTTGCCTCCGGTCGGCACCGTCTGAGGGGTGTACGAGCCACTAACAATCAGGTCGTAATACTTCATCCTCTGCTGGCCTGCAAAAGCCCACAAAAACAGTTATAGTGCTGGAACTGCTGGGAACACAAAACAATACTGATGGATTTCTCTATTACCTCAAGCAGTAGAGCTGCACAGCATGGACAAAACATTACATTCCTATTGCACTGCCAGATATGGCGACTGTGATAGACCCTGGAATATATCTGAAAAACCTAGAGCTGTCACAATCATTACCTTTTAGCTAACGATTATCAAATAACTGGCATTAAGTATTTGTTTTTTCTTGTTCACTGTATGCAAGTATGAAAGTGCAAGTAATAACAGTTGTACTGTCCCAATGATACAGCATTTATGCATACAATCATACAAGTTATATGTTGAGAAAATAAGCTAAAAAACTCATTATACTAGTATACCTGCTATAAAACGCCAGAATTAGCTACACAGTTAACAAATAAACAAACATTACTCAGTACTGCCCTCTGAACATGTTAGAAGTCAGAACCTTTTTTGTTTTCTTAATATCGATGATGTCTTAACTAATGCATGTACTACTTTCTTTACTCTAATTTGTCTCAACCTAATTAACACCCTGCTTGTTGCAGAAATCGAATAACTGTGGAAAACATTTGCAGTCAGCGAAAATAATTACGATCATCTCAAATGATTGCGATCATCTGAAATAACTGCCATTAGGCTATTATGTAATTCTGACAGGTCTAGAAAAATGTTCTAATGCTGTAGATAAAAACCATTTGTTTGTCTGATCACAACAAGGTTGATCAGAATATTTACAGGACACAAAAACTAGTGATGCAGGTTTATTTACCAAATGTCATAGCTACTAATGCAATAACGACGGATGAACAACAAATGCAGCGCTACTTAGCAAACAGTGGTGTACAGTATGGCTAAATTTAATTTAAAATAGCAATAAAAACAACATTACAAACAGCAGTATTTGTGCAACATTCAAGTTCTCAACCGTGGCTCAGTGTTCATAAATTAACAATTTCCATAAAATGAAAACATGCAAAACCTCTTCATAAACACATGCAAATTATTTTCAGTATAGAATTCAAACCTCAAAGAAGCACCTTCTGTTTCAGTAGCTGGCAAAGCACTGCTTACTCATCTCTCACAACCAGAATGATCCCCAAGGTGGAGACAGAAAGCTAATGACCCAGATGGGTGTGTACCTTTGATGTCTAGCTGAGCATGGACAATGTTGCCCATGACAGAGGTGTTGTGCAGGTGTTTAACTGTGTCTTTGGCCCCTCTGGTGCTGGTGAAGAGAACGCGGGCCAGGCCCAAGTGCTTCCGTGTCTTAGGATGAAACAAGATCTCCATTTCCTCCACCTCGCCGAACTTGGTGCACATCTCCAATAGGAAAGGCTCCTTGATGTTATCGTTCAACCGGGCAAACGTCACCTCCTTCAACGGAATAGGACCCACGTAGTACTCATCCAACTACGGGGAAGAGGAAAAGACACAAACTGTATTAGGAGAAGGTAAAACATAGGAGAGAAATCCCTGTTCTTGACGGACGTCCGTCATTCAAATTCCATCTATAATCCTTTCAGTGAGAGAGAACATGACTTCTTATCCAAGCCATTATAAAAAAGCCTGGATTCATACAGCCACTGCTGTGGAACCAGCCCTCCGTTAGAACCACCTTTATGTCTCAGGCTCGAGAGCATTTATAGCCTGTTTTGCACTTCTTTATCCCAGTTTATTTAATTTTTTATTCTAATTTTATGTCCAATTTGATTCTAAAATAATGATTTTCTCTTTTTAAATCTATTATTTTAATCAAGTTTTTAATTTCTATACTCCTTTACTTTTTTAAACGACTGAATTGAATGACAGCAGTGTACGAAAGGTGCTATATAAATAAACTTGCCGTAACATACAGACACAACGCACCAGTAGCGCCACATTTAAAAACAGCCGTCAAAAATTCAATGATTTCTGTTCAGTGGTTCACACACTGCACAAATCCAGTTGAACAGGACTGACTATTGGTCAGTGTTCTTTCAGTGCGGATGACGTCTGCAGTGCCCTAAGAAAAGCGGGAATGACCACCATTAAATAAGCTGTGTGGAACCAGCCCTCCTTTAGGACCTCCTTCATGTGTCGGGATTGAGACGAGTTCAAATTTTATGATTTTTGTTTTACTTCTTGCTTCAGTCTTTCTCTCTACTTTCATTATCTTGCAAAACCCAGTTTTGCAATCTGGCACGCTGGAGTCGCTCACTTGTGTTGCCGAGAAAATTTTGCATTAAACTCTAGGCTTGTGAGAAAACGGATGAGCGGGAAATAAACAGCAAATCAATTCAGGAAAGCACAGTTTAGTGCAGCCAAAAAGACATTTAAAACGTTTGCAGAGAACTTTTATTGTTGTGCTCAATACACCACAGGCCTAGTAGTATGTTCTGTTACATTTAGAAGTAAACAGGTCAAAGTTAAGATCTTGCTATATCAGCACTGCGTAGCAAGAGAACAGCGCAGTATGGAAGGTTTTGGATGTTACTCAAAAGCACGGCTGGAATACATTAATTGGATTTATGCTTAACTTTGCTTATGCTTATGCTGTGATCCAGTGACTGCTACTGTTGGCACTACACAGCATTTTTTTTTAAACACACCGGGTGATGATGGGTCAGTTCTGGACAAAATTTCATTGAGCTTGGGGCAGTTTCGGTCTCAGGTGTTAAATTCTCTGGTTGCGTTTAGGTTCTAACCAAACTTTCTGGCTCAATTAAAGCTCCACCCTTCATGAGGGACGTCTAATTTTTCTAGCAAATAACAGCCACAAAGGATGTGTTCAAAAAGCAAAGCAGGAACTCAAACACAAACTTGCAACTACATCCAGTTTGGAAATCAGTAACTGATCAGTAAGTAAAGCCACTGGATGTTTTTCATCAAGTCAGCTGAACGAAACCAGCACACCTCTGAAAGGACAACTGCAAATACTTCTTTAAGGTCCATTTAAAGCAAGCAAATTACATGCCTCAGCTAAAGCTAGTGCCGCTCGCTACAGGGGGCTTGTTTGACGAATGGCCCTTATAAGCGGTTGTATAAACAGAACTTTCTGCTGACACCTTCACAGCGAAATATGACAAAGCGACAGAAGCCATTCAATTCCAGAGCTAAAATTTCCTATCATTAGATGTCCATACGGAACTGAAGGCATCCAGTAGAAACCTGGGCTGGACACCTTGAAAAACTTTCAGATACCAATAAGAAACACGACCATGATTCTGACACAATACGTAATACTTAAGTTACAAACTCAAAGTGGGTGTGGCTTAAACCAGAAAGGAGGTACTGGGCGTAGTGTGTCCACAATCATGAAGAAATATTTATCTTACAAACGGCGCATTTATAACTGACAACCATGCCTCAGTACCAAAAACAGTCAGGTGCTGCCCTGAAAAAGGAAATATTTATTACAAACTGTGCAACTGTGTTTAACATTGTCATGGAGGTGAACGTGGCCCCCCCCCATCGATCTGGTCTGTCCTGTAGTCATCTGAACTTGGTTATTTTATTAGCTACTGTAAACTATGCCGTCATAGCATCTCAGTGCAATACATGCTTATTCAATACCTTATTAGAGGGATAGTAGTAAAACTAAGCCTAGGGAATGGCAATATGGCTAAAATATCACATTACGATACTTGACACACAGACAATGCAGCAGTAATGCCACATTTAAAAACAGCCATCAAAAATTCACAGTGATGTCTGTTCAGTGTTTTACATACTGCACAAATCCAGCTAAACACTCACTGTGCTCTCATTTTAATCAAATATGTAGTTGGTCAGTGTTCTTTGAGTGCGGACGATATCCGCAATAAGCTAAAAAAAGTTCTCTGTTTATCAGGAAAAGCGATAAATTATCATCACATTGCCCACCAACAACACCAGGCATACCAGTTCAGCAGGTGGGATGACCACCATTAGACTAGCTGTGTTTACAGGTAACAAACTCTGATAAAATCTGATTTAATGCGATTCGTTCTGCGTCTGAAAAAACAGATTTGTTAAAAATAAAAATAAACAAAAGTCTCAAAGGCAAACGGCCAGTGGGGCCGTAGGCTCTGTGTTCTGAAAGGCCAAAATGTAAAATGCTGTGGCCAGGAGCACTGGACAACAGACAAGTTCGACAACTGGAAACAGGCATGCTTGATTCACTGACACTGCTTAGGTACTGTAAGACATGGAACTTTTTCTGTAGTAGAGAAGCAATTCGGTCCGTACCATAAAAATACTGAATTTCAATATCAAGCCCCAGCAGAGACTACTTCTCACGCAACACTTAGCAATATCAGAGCACACTGGAGCGCTCAGCAAAGAAAACTGGACAGAATATGGAAAATGTACAAGCAGTCTTCACATTCAAAACAGGAGGCATGCGCTGGTTTCTGTCCTGCAGTCTCATGGATTGCACTGAGAGATGTGCCACAGCTGGAGCAAAGCAAATTCGGAGGAAACCAGAGAACTGCATTCCAAAGGACCTACCTTGAATTTGGGCAAAGGAAGCGACAGCTCTGTGTGTCTGGACCAGATCCTTCGTGGCCGAGGGTCACGTAACTCCCCCACAGGTGGGAACCCTGAGTCCTGAAAGGCAGCAGGGGACAGAAGGTTATTACAGTAATTTGTAAGGCTGTATAATTACATATTAATTCAAACACAGCCTCTAAAAATATGCCACGATTCTGGGATACTCAGTGCTATGAATACTAAACAGATATGCACAGACAGTTGCTTGAAATCACAATATCAGTATCAACGTTTACCAAAATATTATGTACTTATTAGAACATTACCAGCTCAGTTAGATATATTTCATACCAAAAACAATTTTAAAGCCATTTTACCTTCAGCAAAACCTAAAACAATTGGCAGGAACTACCAAAACACTATCATGGTAACTATTTTGCAAATGCTTAATCTGTTACTGGTGGCACTTTATGCAGAGTGGTCCTTTCAGATGAAACAAACACTCAACAGACTCTCAGTAATACGTCAAAAACAAAATATGAGGGTTAGGATAAGGTTTGAGGTTAAAGTTAGGGTTAGAATTAGGGCCAGGGTGAGGGTTAGGTTTTGGTAAGGTTGGTAAGGTTATGTTTTGTGTAATGCAAGTAACATATTAACAATACATTTACTTAAGTAATACTTAGTTATGTAAGTAATGTATCAACAGAACGTCTACAAGATATTTACTTCAGTGTATTCAGATGCTTCTCTATTGCTACTCCACTAATATGTTACTGATGTCTTAATGATAATCGGTTAAGAGTTTATTAATCATCTACAAAGGACCACTCCGAATAAAGCGTTACCCCATTACCAATCAGAGACGTCAATAAAATCACTACCTAACATTCCTGTACCAAGAAACCCAAAAATAGCAATGAACACTTATGCCCACTGATGAAAATTTATAATGGTGCATTCCTAATGTGTCTCTGCACCGCTAAAGACACAGTTCTCATCAAGTATGCAAGCTAACAAGTCACAATTTTGTGTTGTGTGAGTCAACTGAGGCCTCTCTCACTTTCATTTTGAACGGTCTGTGTTTTGCCAAGTCATAGATGTTCACAATATTAACAGAACAATCAGAGTTAAACTGCTGGCCAGCAGTATTAGAAGCATCTTTTATATAAAAACTACACTGAGCACTACACTAAATTAAACATTAGTCTGTGATTCATGTCTGCTGGCCGGGTCATTTCATTGCTTGCTGAGGCATTCGCCAACACAGACACACTATCAAGAGTGAATACCGGCACGCTGAAGTGAATCCCATCGTATCTGTAGATTTTCTGGGCGACCCTGCGGATGGCAGGGTCCTGTACAAGCTTGTAGCTCTTCCATTGCAGACTGAGAGCTCGCTGGGTGTCCGCCCCACTGTCTGGATCCATGCTATCACTGCAGAGAAAGTGAGAGGAGATTCTCTATGAAGTGAGAGATTTCAGTGTCACAGAAAAACCTGATTTACACCATTTTCCCCTTATGCACAGCCAGAACATGTCTAGTGTGTGAAAATGTGGTACTTCAGTTTTGCACTGAGGCCACAAGGCTAAGGTAGCTGACAAGCAATGGAGGTCTAAGTCACCCAAAAGTCTTTTCAGGTGACCCGGACCTCTTTTCCTTGTATTACCTGTGCAGCTTCAATTACCCGGAAAGCACACTTTGTCTTAGCTGACCAACTAGAAGGGGAAAATTGTGCAGATCTGCTTTTAAAGACTCAAACTTTACAAAACTGTTTACAGCTCATAGAGATGGGTGGTGGGTGCACCCAAACCAACAATAAGACTCACGTCCTGGAGACCCACTTCCCTGCAATTTTTACTGTTTTCCCTGCTCCCAACACACTTGATTCAACCAATCAGCTCAGGAGCAGCCCATTATTGAGTTAAAGTGACATGAAAATTGTGCAGGGCAATGGGCCTCCAGGACGAGGGTTGAGTTAAAGCTACATATAAAACAACCAAACAGCAACAAGAGGCAACAGTACAGTTGATGCATCTGAGCTAAATCTATATGGAGGTGCATACACAGCTGGGACATAGGCCTGAACAGACAGTAAAAAAGCTGTTTGCTGTGATGCTCCAACACAATAACAGAGAGATACTTAGCCTACGGTTTAGCTACAGTTAGTCCATCATTTCGCCGGGCAGGAGAAACGTTATTCCCTTCGAATATCACAGACTAGCATCAACAAATACATCAAGCAACATTTTAACTCGTGTGTTATTTAAAAGCTGGAGCCAGACTCCTGTTCGAATTTTCCCGTTCCACCTTAAACAGTGCAGCAGATAGTTACATTTCGGCGCCAGAACCTATAACGTTACTGCACCATTTAAGGTGGGACGAGAAATTTGAACAAGAAAGCCGACTCCAGCTTCGTCGCTTTACATAAAGCTCACAGATTTTTCAGGGCTGGCTGTAATTGTGTCTGCCTGGCTAAACACGATAAACACAGACTCTGGTGGCTACTTCGCTACAGAGTTGGCTAAATAGGAAAATTGAGGTGAGAGAAAGAAAAAAGAGCCCCCGGTCGGAGTCGATTCTCCTCCCTTTCACGGCTTCGAGCCCACGCTTGCTCAAGACGAACCCACCAAACAGCGGCTCCCGCCTCTCAGTGTCGTTTCACCCGCTTCAACACGGGCGACGCTCAAAAAACGGCCGACCAGCCAGCAAGCTAAGGAGCTAACAGGCTACAAACGGCCGCCTCCTCGCAACTAAACAGGCTAACGTGCTAGGCTAACGCGCTAGCCAGCCGCTCGGCAGGCCGCTGTATCGGACGAGAAAACTAAATATGCTCGAATAGAAAACAGCGATTCCGTTTCGACTCCGGGACCCCGCCGTCCGGTCTCGAAGGGCCCCGCTCGCGTTCCGGTGCGTCCCCGAAACATCCCAGGACGTTATACTCCACCTAAAAGCGACGTTTTGTGGGGAAAAATCGGGTTAAAGAGACAGCGGCCGACGCGAAACCAACCTGGGAGCCTCGCCTGTCCGCCATTAGTCACTAGAACAACATTCCTCCGATTCAGCTCAAGCACTTTCCGCATAAGTCGAGACAATCGGGACGGTCAGAAAAATAAATAATGAGTTGGTAAACGTGCTGAATTAGTCGAGTAAGAGACAAACGGGTGGGTTCGTTCGCGTTGTCTTTTTTATTCGATGCAAATACAGATGTTAGCTGCATAATCTGAAATTGCTTTTTTTTTTACTCTGACAACTGTACGTTTAAGATTTGAAATGGCGAATGTGCTGTTTCATTATTAAAGGTGACATTGGTGTCGAGCGGGACGGTTGTAGGTGAAGGCCAAGTTCATCAAAAATAAACAAAAACATTTTCATCTGAGAATTATGGCGATAAATAATGTTGGATTATTGATCATCGTTTGACTTTTTTAATATATATTTTAAACATATTATTTTCTTACGTTTGATTACATTTGTCAATATATTTTTAATAAAAACGAAAACAATATATTGATATAATTTTTATTCGTTGTTTATTTATGTTATACATATTTAACAATTTTATATTTATTTTATTTCTTTACTTTTTTTAGGAAAAAAACAGCTCATGTATTACCTTAAAAATGCTTTATTGCATCACATCTCAGAACATAGCAGATGTTAGCTTTTTTCTTTTTAGGCTATTTGCATATTCATCGTCTTATAATTTTTTGTAATTTCCATACCTTTCACTAAAAATAGCAATGCTGCATTGGGGATTTTGAAAAATAAAAGAATACTATTTCCCTCCTCTCGCCCTTAGTTTAAATACGCTAATAAAATCTCTGTGAATTAGTGTAGTTTTTATACACTGAGAATGAAAGATTTTCAGGTTCATAAAGGATAAATGTATCATTTGGAATGACACATTGACACTCAAAGAGTAAACTACAGCTGCTGACTGTATTCTAGATGTATTCAAATGGATAAAATCAAGGCAGAATACAAAAAGACAGGTACTAAACGTAAAAAAAGTAAAGAAAAAAAAATCATGTTTTCTTCCCAATGTCAGCACATGTTGAACGGCAGCAGTAATTAAGAAGTGTTCTATATGTGTACATTGTAGATGCCTACATTGCCTCATAAATATTGGGCTGTATTACCTGCTGTCTATCAGATAATGGGCTCCAGGCAGAACAGGCTCTGTTGTCCTTAGACTTGCTGGAGGGTACAAAAGCAACCTGAATAATGCTACACACATGCTATTAGCATGCTAACACTCCTGCGCATTGAAATGATGCTGTGTTATAGTAGGTCTGCTGTTAAACTTCAGCACCATTATATAACAACACAACCTACTTAAATTGTACTCTACACTCTTAAAGAAATAGTTCTTCAGGGGTTCTTTAACAAAGTAAATGATTCTATATAGAACCATAAACACTCCAAGAACCCTCTGCATGGTTAAAGGGTTCTTTGCATCATGAAAGCGTTCATCGGATTGATTGAGAATGTGCTGTAGATGGTTCTATATAGTACCAAAATGGGTTCTGCTACTGTTACGATATCAAGCTTGTTACAGTAGAAGAACCCTTTTTGGTACTATATAGAATCATTTTCAAAAAGCTCTATACAGAATCATCAATATACAGAACATTCTCTATCAATCTAAAGACTATTTCACCATGCAAAGAATCATGCAAAGTGTTCTTTAAGTGTTCATGGTTCTATATGGAACCATTTTCTCTACTAAAGAACACTTGAAGAACCATCTTTTTGAAGAGCGTACACCCCTGTCAAATCAACTTAACTACAACATTCGACAAAGCTCGCTGGTTTGTTTGGAGTAATGAGGGGTATGATGTCAGCTGAGCGTACAGCAGTGTTAGCGTGCATGTAGAAATATTAATATTTGGACTCCCTAACAACCTCATAATTCAGTGAATTCAGTGACATTCTGAGCAAAAATGCACACGGGACAAAACTCATTAGGTTTGGAACCTTTTTGTTTACTGGCACTTTTAAAAATAAACAAAAAAAAACAAATAGATTGCAGTGATTTTTAGAAAAATGCTGTAGAATTTTTGGCATAGAGTAGTCCAGATTAGACCTCGAGTTCCTAATTTTGGCATGTTTATTACACAGTTATTACACCCTGACGAATGACTCTAGTGGTCTATAGGGAATTCTCTGCTACAGATGGAGAGGCTAATAAAAACAGATGTGATATTTGGCTTCCTAGCAGAAACGTTAGCTGTCTGACTTCCTTCTGCGTTAGTCACAAACAAATAAGTACATACATTTCTAACGACCCACCCTCCAGTATCTCACCTCAAAGAACTTGCAGTTTTACAATAGATTCTCCCACCTTCAAGATACATCATCAGAAGGTGGCTTTCCTAGTGTTTAAACTGAAAAATCTCACTCTTTAGAGTCATGCAGTACTACTGTAGAACACAAGTAGGCATGTTTACATCAGATACAGCAATGGTTACATTTTTAACTTTGGCCCAAATGCTCCTTTAAAAGTGTCTTTCTGTTTATCGGCACCAAACCTATATTAGTGTACTACTGTATTAGCTGCTGGGGCTGAATCTTAAAGGAATAGCTGAGCAGAAAATGTTTGGGTGGCACAGACGTCTGTTCCTTTTTTTCAAGTCAAGTCAAAGTTTATTTATATAGAGCTTTACACAACAGATGTTGTCGCAAAGCAGCTTTACAGAAAAATCCAGGTCCGAGCCCCCATGAGCGTCGCCAATGGTGGCAGTGGCAAGGAAAGACTACCTAAGAGCAAGAGGAAGAAACCTTGCAAGGAACCAAGACTCAAAAGGGGAGCCCATCCTCCTCTGGTCGACACCGGATAATAAACAGTGACACGAGCAAAATAAACAGAGAATAAGATATTAACTTTAGTGTAAAATATTAAAAAGCAGGGGAAGCAATGGTTGTGATTAGATAGTTAGAGTCTATGCAGCAGCAGCATCATCAGGAGGGTCAGTTCACGCAGGTGAGATCTGCACAGTTTTGTACAGCAAGAAGCTCCATGGTGGTCAGACTGGTCCAGAAGGCTACCCGATCATGGCTGAAGAAACAACAGCATGAGACCCCACAGGACGGGCAGCTGATCAACTCAGCAAAGAAAACACACAGAGAGACAGTTCTATATTAACTGTATTCCTCCAATCACTACATAAGCAAACTGCAGACCCCAAACATGTCTTGGCAGATCAAATACATTTTAGGTCGGGTGAAAAAACTGTGTAAAGGTGATTTTTTTTGCCAATCTATTCCTTTAAAGCAGACGGACAGAGGGACTCCAGATGCCGCTGCAGCTCTGTGACAGTGTCTCTTGTGCATTTTTCAATAGCCTGGTTGGATTTGGGACAAGACGCCGCTCCGAATGCACGATCTCACTTGCTGATGATGTTCGACACTTTTATTTTTGGCAGCCGGCCTCATCTTTCACTGGTTATTTATTAGTGTGCAATAAATAAGTTAAGACTTTTTGCGGAGGCTTCGGTTCACGTTGGCTAGACAAGCAGGACCATTCCTCCATCTGCAGAAGTGGAGCATATTTCAAACACAAACCGTTTTCTCCTTTCATCTAATCAAATCAGCACAGAAACGCAGGATTTACTGCCGTCTTCTTTTGAGCATGAGCACCGTAAATCACAGCAATTGTAAAATTCTACTGTAAAGCTGAACCAGATCAGCACAGAACTGACAGGGCTGGGACTCATCAGGGTTGATACTGAAGGCCTTTCAGTCAGAAAAGAGCACAATTTTACCCCAGATGTTTATAAAAGCAGACAAGGTAACAATATTCATGAGTCATTTCACAAGATTGGTGCCAAATGAATGTGCTAACTGAAATCAGTCAGTTACATACAGGCATACACAAATGTGCGAACACCCCGCTGGTCAAATGACATGTTTTGTTGATTTCCTGAGTGAAAATAAGTTCCACATCCTCTACAGAGCTTTTTTTCTGCAGATTGTGGTGCGCAATTTCTATTTAGTTGCCAAGTTTAACATATTGGAGAAAAAAAAAACATAACATATGGCCTGTGCAAAAGTTATGGCACAATTCACAGTGATGTCCAAAAGTCTGACAAGACTGAAAATCTGCTTTTCTATTCATTTAAACCAGAAAATAAACAACAGAAAGTTTTAGAACTTTGAAAATTTTACAACAAAAAAATAAAATTAAGAAATATTTGACATTATCCAATATTTCTAGGTCTTTACTCAAACTGAAGCAAATCTATGAAATTCGCCATGTTAAGGTCTTTCGACAAACTGGTCAGATTTTTTGTTAAATCTTATTCTCTCCACTGAAACACGTGATCAGACGACTCTCAGGTGATTCGATCTACTAATCGAAGGCTGTTGCTCAAACATACAGAGTGCGTGCCAGTCATTACAGCAAAAGGGGGACACACCACCAAATATTAAGAAATTCAGAAATTCATATAAACATTTAAAGAAGCTTTTCACTCAGATTGTTATTCTGATGGTATTATATCATAATATCATTTGTGATGAAAACCTTTGCATTAAATTAGAAAGGAAGGCAAAACAGAAGCATGTCCACCAGTGATCAGACATTTGGGCCCAACTTTATTTTTCTTCCAACTATTTTTTTCAAACTCAGGAAATAAATAGAAATTGTGCACTAAAATCTGCAGAAAAATGCCTTATTTAAGTGTGTTCTCTGTAGTGGATGTGTTATTATTATTATTATTATTATTATTATTATTATTATTATTTTCACTTTGAAAATCAGCAAAATATGTGGTTTAGTGGTTCAAACTTTTGCATATGACTGTATGAACTGTTAATGTGTTAATTATTTAATAATATTTGAGATGGAACTTGAATGGCTCCCTATGCGGACATAAACGATGTTGTATTTAATGCATTTTAAAAAGCATCTTCTCTACTTGCAAATAAAAAAAAACACATATACTATGTTAATGTTGAAAAAACTTTCAGATTTCTGTCTCTAATACAAGACACTAAATGTTGTAAACTCAAATGACTCTCCACTTTTTTCCTCATGCAGTTCTCTT